TAGGAAGGAGGAGGAAGATCACCTCTCCATCCTACCTGCTGGGATGGGCGCGGGGGTTGGTCAGGGGATGGGGGTGTGATCAGTGGATACCAAGGTGGGTTATATCTGGCCTAACCTGGCCCATTAGTGGGTTGCTAATACCCCAGGAGGAGAACAAGAAGGAGGAGGAGGAGGAGGAGGAGGAGGAGGAGGAACGAGGAGGGAGGTGGAGCTCCCCGTCGCATATCTTATCGTCTCTCCCCCCTCCCTCCCCCCTTTTTCCCCCGTCGGGATTTGCCGCAAGGCCGTTGTATAATGGCTGCTGTGAGGTTTATAATGCTCTCTGAGAGCGTCGTCGAACACGATGCTGTGTGGTTCCCAATTCATGCCGTATCGCTGTTGGAGCTCAGCAAAATCTTTCCTACTCAACAGAGGGCGCTCGCGGCGCAGATTCACTACCGCCAGGGGCGACGGCGTCGTCAGGCGCATTATCGACATCGCATTCCTCCCCTGCCCCTCCCCCCCTGCCCCTCCCTCCGTTCCCTCTCTCACTCGACAACCTCTCCCGTCCAGGCGTGCCCCGTCAGCATGGTTTCTGGATGGGCTTGTGGCGGTGCGCGAAGCGTCATTACTTGTCTACCATGCGCCACACCGATGCATCTGAGTGCCTATCAAATGTGGAGGGCCGCGCGGTCGAATAGTGATGAATGTAATCATCGTGTTCGCACGCGCTGGGGGGTCCGTTATATATGTTCTTGCAGCTGGCGCAACAGGAACTCCCTGCCGCGCCTTTCAGCGCCCGTGCCTCCTTATGGCTTTTCTCGTCCTGGATCAAGGCCTTATGATGAGCCTGGAGCAAGAAAAGACCCCCGCGACCGTCACTGCACCGAACGCCAGCTTTAAAATTATGGAGGCCCGCGAACATAACGTGAAATATTTTGCGGAGCACACCAGAATACCCAGCCAACACACGCGAAAGCCGATCTACTTCGAGGACGCCTATGGGGAACCACCCGTGGTCTTGTGACCTCCACCATTCTGGGAGATCTGTTATTGTAAAATAAACCACAAGGTATTTATTGGCGTTGTCGGGGCGCATTGGGTTCCCCATGCTGGCCTCGTCCCCCCACAACGCCAAGCCGCACTGCTTGCCAGCGCAGCTGTCCGACATCAGTCTGGCAAACGCAGGCGAGGATTCACATAGGTGATTCAACAAGGCGAGAGGGTGAGCATACCACCATGTGAACGAGGACCCATCATCTTGTTCCTCGTGACCCCTCGTGGCGAGGTACACAAGCATCTACTGATGTATGTAGCGATCCTATATGACATGTGTTTCAAGTCCCCATCCTCTTCCGTGCTCGTCCACTCCCCCACTCCGCAACTCCCCTCCCCCTCCCCCTTTCCCCTCTGCCCTTTCCCCTTATAAAATATATATGGGCGGCGGAAGGTGGCGCGTCGACGCGGTGTATCCAGGGAAACGCTCTGCATTATCTTCCCATACCCTGTTCGAATGCTTTCAACGTACTTGAGAACTGAAGCCGAAATCGAATTGTAGCCCAATTTAGAATCTAGGTCCTCCTCTTGCAAAGCGTCAAACATCCTCTTCATGGCATTGAAAGATGTGCTGAGGCCTACAGATGCAGCTACACGGGCACGATTGACAGCGTTGTCCATGTCGCGACGGCACAATCCCCCTCGTCGCAGAATGTCAAGGAAACCCGAACAGATTGAGCCGAAAGTGTGTTACGGATCGAATATATTGCCGTTCGGGCCATGGGCTAATTTTTTTTTTTTGCCTTTGTGTTTTTTTTTTTGTCATTTTCTTTGGCATCTTTTTTTTTTAATTTGGGTTTTTCTCATTTTTTTCTTTTTTTTTTTTTCAAACACGGAAATTAAGAGTTTAGTTAGGGTAAAGTGAGTTTAGCGCTGGGCGTGCGGTCCCAACCGCTGTGCAATCGGAAGCCTTAGTGTAGTAGTGTGGAGTTGAAAAACAAATATATACGAGGGAATCTTGGAAGCGAACGAATGGAAGTTAAGGAAAAAGTTTAAGTAAGTTATACAGCGTTACATGAGACTTGCGAACAAGTTATTATTTATATATCCCTAAGTGCCTTACAACTTACCTAAGCCAGCAGTGACGAAGTAAGGCCACTTCGTGCTCTTCGAGTTCCCATAACTCCATTCCCGGGCCACATTTTGGATGCCCGTAGCCAACTGTAGGCAACTTCGTGCTCTTCGACTTCCAGAACTCCCATTCCTGGGCCACATTTTCAGCAGGGGCAAGAGCACGACGAGGAGGAGGACGAGCAAGACCAGGAGGACGAGGACGAGCAGGAGCAGGACGAGGAGCAGGAGGAGCAGGAGAAGAAGGACGAGCAGGAGGAGGAGGAGGACGAGCAGGAGGAGGAGGTCGACCAGGAGGAGGAGGACGACCAGGAAGAGGAGGAGGAGGAGGAGGAGGAGGAGGAGGGGAGGGGGAGGAGTACCAGGAGGAGGAGGAGGAGGAAGAGGAGGAGGAGGAGGAGGAAGAGGAGGAGGAGGAGGAGAGGAAGGAGAGGAGCGAGGAGGAGCGAGGAGGAGGAAGACGAGGACGAGGTCGGTGAGGAGGAGGAGGGGGGGGGAGGAAGAAGAAGAGAGGAGGAGAGGGTGAGAGAGAGGAAGAGAGTACCTGGAGGAGTCGAGAATAGGAGAGAACGAGGGACCACCACCAGGAGGAGGAGGAGGAGGAGGAGGAGGAGGAGGAGGAGGAGTAGAGAGAAACCAGGAGGAGGAGGACGAGCAAGACGAGGAGGACGAGAACGCGGAAACGACAGGAAGAGGAGGAGGAGGAGGAGGAGGAGGAGGGGAGGGGGAGGACTACCAGGAGGAGGAGGAGGAGGAGGAGGAGGAGGAGGAGGAGGAGGAGGAGGAGGAGGAGGAAGAGGAGGAGGAGGACGAGGAGGAGGAGGAGGAGGACGAGGTGCAGGAGGAGGGGGGGGGAGAGCACCAGGAGGAGGAGGAGAACGAGGACCACCAGGAGGAGGAGGAGGAGGAGGAGGAGGAGGAGGAGGAGGAGGAGGAGGAGGAGGAGGAGGAGAGAGCACCAGGAGGAGGAGGACGAGCAAGACGAGGAGGACGAGAACGAGGACGAGCAGGAGGAAGAGGAGGAGGAGGAGGAGGAGGAGGAGGAGGAGGAGGAGGAGGAGGAGCAGGAGACAGAGGAGGAGGAGGAGGAGGAGGAGGCAGGCTGAGGCTGAGGCTGTGACTGCGACTGCCGTTGCCGCTGCGACTGTCATCGCGATTGCGACTACGACTGCGAGAACAGCAGAATTCGACAACTGGATTTTCATCTGAATCTTAAGGGGAATGCTTTCAGATATGCTTCTACACATCGCTGTTAGGTTGCTTTGCCGGGATTATTGTTGAAAGGGATTTTTTGAAAACTTGTGATTTTCGAAATACGATTGTGCGCACATAGTATTTATTGCAAAAGAACCGAGGGGGGGCGATACCGGCTTGGCTGGGATAGTCTGAGTTCTAAAGGTCGGAGGGACATTGGGTCGGAGTCATATGTGTTTTGCATAGGTTCCTGGGGAATCGATAACTCCGGTGAGGGGAGGGTGGTAACGTGTATTCTTTACGCTTCGCGTATCCCCACCAGCCCATCTCACAGCAGCAACTCTTGCGAAGCATGCCGACAGTCGTGTTTTTCAGGCGTGTGTCCGCTTGGCCCCGCATATCTCCCCTGTTCCTCCTTCCTCCCGCCTCCTTGTACATCCTCCGTGTGGGGGGAGCGGGAGAAGGACGAGGCGGAGGAGGAGGGAGAGAAAGCGCTCCTCGTGATTTGAGTCGTTCGGGGTTTCTCGTCCTGGTGTGAGTCGTTCGGGCCCTTCTTCCTGGTGTGAGTCGTTCGGGCTCTTCGTGGTGTGAGTCGTTCGGGCTCTTCGTCCTGGTGTGAGTCGTTCGGGCTTCTCGTGGTGTGAGTTGTTCGGGCCCCTCGTCCTGGTGTGAGTCGTTCGGGCCCCTCCTCCTGGTGTGACTCGTTCGGGCTCCTCGTGGTGTGAGTCGTTCGGGGCCCGCGTCGTGGTGTGAGTCGTTCGGGCTCCTCGTGGTGTGAGTCGTTCGGGCGCCTCGTCCTGGTGTGAGTCGTTCGGGCCCCTCCTTGTGGTGTGAGTCGTTCGGGCTCTTCGTGGTGTGAGTCGTTCGGGCCCCTCGTCCTGGTGTGAGTCGTTCGGGCTCCTCGTGGGGCCTCTTGGGGGCCTCTTGGAGCCTCTTGGGGCCTCTTGGGGGCCTCTTGGGGGCCTCTTGGGGGCCTCTTGGGGGCCTCTTGGGGCCTCTTGGGGCCTCTTGGGGGCCTCTTGGGGGCCTCTTGGGGACCTCTTGGGGCCTCTTGGGGGCTTCTGGGGGGCCTCTTGGAGGCCTCTTGGGAGCCTTCTGGGGGCCTCTTGGGGCCATCTTGGGGCCTCTGGCGACCTCCTCAGAAGCGCAAAGGAGAGCTGCCCCCTGAGAAGGACAAAATGAGCCCAACACCTTCGTAAAATCAATGATTTTGCTATGAAGGACGAGAAGCGCGGCCCCCTCAGGAGGCCAAAATGGGGCCAAAACTCTAGTAAAATCAATGATTTTTGGCTTCAAAGAAGAGCAGAGGGGCCAAACTCCGTCCCCCCGTCGGGGCCAGAATCCTCGTGAGGGTCGTCGTTTTTTGGCCCTCCCAGGAGTCGAAAAAGACCCCTCCAACGACCCGCGGGGCGCCCTCTCCAGGTCCAGGGGGAGGGGGTAGGGGGAGGGGTAAACCCCTCCCCGAAGGGGAAGAAGGGGGGTTGAGGACAGAGCGGGCTCTCTAAACCACTCACGCCCAAAGGGCTGGTGGGATTTTCTTAGAAAGGAGAGCCTGTGTGGTGCAGCGTGCTAGCGGCGATGGTAGCCTTGGTCAAAGGTTGGGGCGAACGGTTAGCTGGAGGGCGCTGGTGCGGCGTTTGCCGCGTGCTGCGGCCAGGGCGCCTGTCTGCCGTCACTGGGCAAGGTCTTCCACGCGTGGGATGGGCAGGAGTTGGCCTCAGGTGCGCGGCGGTCTTCTGCCGCGCCTCCCCGACGCCGCTGGTGCGCTGCACGGGCGGCGGCTGACGGACTTGCTCCGGGGCAGTGGCCGCGCTCCAGAGGCAGCCGTTGAAGGAGCTGCAGGCCGACGCCGGGCTTCTCGAGCCCGACGGGCAACGCCTCCTCGAGGCTCTGCACGGGGGTCCCGCTGGAGACGGCCCTGGGCGCCTGGGAGGACGCGCGTTCGGCCGCGGTCATGGTGGCCGGCAGAGGGCGAAGAGGCCTGCTCGTGCGAATGAGCCTGGAGCCAGCGGTCGTGCAGTCTCAGGCACACGGGCCGCGTTCAGCGGCGGCGACGACCTCGAGGAGGACGACGTCGTGGGCGCGGTCGACGGCGGCGAAGCCAAGGACGAGGCGCGGCTCAAAGAGACTGCCCCGCAGGGAGGAGAGGAAGTGCTGCCATCGCTGCGTCTGCGGGGCCGACGCGCGGCCCCGAGCCAGCGGCGTCGGCGAGGAGCAGCCGCGGCGACGTGCAGAAGGCAGGAAGCGCCGTCGGCGCGGCGCCTGCGGGGCCGAAGCGCGGCCCAGAGCCAGCATCTTCGGTGGGGACCTACGGTGGCGGCGGGCAGACTGCAAGAAGGGTTGCCAATGCGGTGCCCGCGGGGCCGACGCGCGGCCAAGAGCCAGCGGCGTCGGCGAAGAGCAGCCGCGGTGACGCGCAAAGGGCAGGAAGTGCTGCCAGCGCGGCGACTTCGGGGCCGAACCGTGGCCAAGGGCCACAAGCTTCGGTGAGGAGCAGCCGTGGCGACGTGCAGAGGGCAGGAAGGGCTGCCAGTGCGGCGCGCGCGGACAGCGGCCCTTGGCATCGGGCGCAGTTCCAGTGCAGCTGGTGGGACGTGGCCCAGACAATGGCCGACATCTCAGCGGCCGCCTGGCTGAAGCAACAGCAGCAGAGCCCGCCCTCCACGAGACGCAGTCCTCGGTGGGGGTGGATGTGGGCCAGCGCGAGCAGGGGGGCTGGAGCTCGTGGAGGCCGTTCCCACCCCGCCAGAGGTGCTTTCCGAGGTCCCCGAGGTGGAGCATCCTGAGCGCGTCGTGAAGGCGCGTCGTGAAGGCGCTCGAGACGGAGTTGGAGCAGGGTTTTGGGGCGTCACGATCGGCGGGCCCCGCGGCGCCTTGAGCCAGGCGGTCGCGGCCAATTGTGCCGAACTGCAAGACGCCGAAGACCAGGCGGAGTGTGGTAATTACTACCATCTGGTCTTCCTGGATGGAGCGCGTGCTGCGGCCGACGTCAGAGACGAATGGAAGAGGGTTGTCCAGAGCACCGTGGCCGACCTCCGAGTGCACATAGAGGCAGGGCGGCGCCATAATGACGACGCGTTGAGGAGGCTGGTGGCCTTCCGCGAGGTTGAGGCCGAGGCGCGTCGGGCTGCCAGGTTTGAGCTTGTGGCGAAGGCTCCGGAGCAAAGCCGATGCAGCAGGCGATGAGCTGGGTGAAGGTGTGCTGAGGCAGTCTTGGCCGAGTGCCGAGCCTCGCCGAAGAGGCGGCAAACGGGGCAAGGTGGAGTCCAGGCGTGGTTGGCCGACAGCGGGGCTCGTTGGAGTCCTGGGGGAGTGCCCGGGGGCGCAGACTTCGAAAGCAGACTGTGCAGTCTTGCTTGTGTGATTACTATTTCTTGAATGGTCTCGTCGCTTCGCGACGGCGGGCGTGCTGTTAGAACAATCTCGATACTTCTCCGTTTCGGAGGCACGCCCCCGGGAAGCATCCGCAGTAATGTTGGCCTGGCCGGCCGGCTGGGGCCGTCCGCCGAAGGGCATCTGACCTTGGGCGCGTGGTAAGTTGGTAATCGAAGCGGTGCAATACATGTGGCGCAATCTGGTGCAATCTGTGTTTTGTGCGGCGACGAGGTGGCGACGGGGCGGCGACGGGGCGGCGACGGCGGCAGCGTGGCCGCCAGAGCGGCAGACAGGCCCGCGCGACGGGCGGCGAGGAGGCGGCGACGGGGCGACGACGGCGGCAACGTAGCCGCCAGAGCGGCAGACAGGCCCAGTTCCTTGGAGGAGACATGAAACAAACCCTTCGTGCCAGCACTGTTTGGAGAGCTTCCCAGACAACAGGAGAGGCTTCTGAGAAGCCCCGCCGCCTTCTGAGAAGGCCTGCCCCTTCTCACTCTCCCTCCCCGGGCTCGCCGCCAAGTCCGAGTATCAGGGCACCAACCAACGCCCAAGGTTCCTCGAGGACTGCGGCGACAGCGTCGGCTGCGACGGAGCGGACCGACCCGGCCGACGGTTTCCTCCTCGTCGTCGGAGGCTTCGCCCCCGGGCGCGCCCCCTGGCTGCCGCCCTGGAGGACGGTGCGCCGTGATTCGCGCTCGGCCCGCCTTTCGGGCGCGCCGCGTAGCCGCGCGAGGAACCCGCCGGCGGAGGGCTTCCCTGGCCGCCTCCTCCCCTCCCTTCTCTTCTTTCTCTCCTCCCACTCCTCCTCCCCTCCCTCCTCCCCCTCCTCTTCCCCTCTTCCCCCTCCCCTCCCCCCTTCCCCCTCCCCCTCCCCGTCCCCCTCCCCCCTCTCCCTCCTCCTCCTCCTCCTCCTCCTCCTCCTCCTCCTCCTCCACCTCCTCCCCTCGGATATGCCCAGGACCCTGGGTGAGTGGTGCTGGTCAGCGATTCGGCCCCGAAGCCCAAACCGCTTGCCGGAATCACTGAACCAAGTTTGCCGGAATTGGAGTTTTCTCTGGTGACGACCATTTTGGTTAGTACAATGTGGCGGGGGGTCATCCCCTGGTACACATAACTCAACCATGTTCCTCTAAACCAGGTCCCGCCAACGCCCGATTCCATCATCCCACCCTCCTCCCATCCCTCCCCCCTCTTCTTCTCCGTCTCCCTCCTCCTCCTCCTCCTCCTCCTCCTCCTCCTCCTCCTCCTCCTCCTCCCCTTCATCCGTCTTCAATCGCCTTCGAATGACCTTGGCCATGTCCTGAAATACTTCAGGAGGTGTCCGAAAGCTCCCGAAGACCGAAGAAACTCCTCCTCCTCCGTGCCGTCCCTCCTCCTCGCTGACTCCTCCCCCTCCCTCCTAGCTGCTTCAGCCCGTAGCGCCCACAACCGCTGCCCTCGGGGGGCGCGGTGGGCGTGCCGCTCGCGCGTCGTGGTAAAGTCGTCCTGGCCATGGACCCAGCCCGGTGCAGTTGTGAGTGCCGTGTTGTGGCACCGCTTTCGGTGGAGCTCCCTAGAGGGCTACGAGCCGTGCGGGGGGTGCGCCAAAATGGGGCGGCGGCGCCATGGGACCCTGCCACTGGGGCCCCAGGTGGAGCTCCCCATGGGGCCACGACCAGTGTGAATGGTGCGCCAAAATTGGGCGGCACCTGCCGCCGGGGCCTTCGGCGGAGCTCCCCATTTGGCCACGAGCCGAGTGAGGGGGGCGCCAAAATGGGGTGGCGCCGCCATGTGAACCCTGCGGCTGGGGCCTTCTATGGAGCTCCCTATAGGGCTACGAACCGTATGAGAGGCGCGCCAAAATGAGACGTCGCCGCCATGTGGACCCTGCCACTGGGGCCTTCTGTGGAGCTCCCTATGGGGCCACGAACCGTGTGAGGGTTGCGCCAAAATGGGGCGGCGCTGCCATGTGGACCCTGCCGCTGGGGCCTTCGGTGGAGCTCCCTGCGGGGCCACGAAGCGTTGCACTGGGTGTGCCGAAACACAGACATGCGGAGGGCATAGGCAGGGATGGGAGGAGGGAGGAGGGGGGGGGAGGAGGAATGAGTGAGTGAGACGCGGGGCGCTGTCTCGTCAAAACGAGGACCGAACACCACAGGATTGTTGGGAAATGCAGAAGCGCCGCTTCGGTCGCCTTCTAGCTCTGCACTGCCCCGGTCAGGATGAACCTCATTGATCTGCCTGCTCCTGCTCCAGCTCTTCCTCCTCTTCCTCTTGCCTCCTCCTCCTCCTCCTCCTCCTCCTTCTCCTCCTCCTCCTCCTCCTCCTCTCTCTCGGCTAGCGATGTGCATTCCGCGGGGCTGGGGACAGGTGCGGCTCAGAGGGAGTCTTCCTGTGCTGGTCCCGAGGCGAGTTCGGGACCTCAGACAAGATTACCACCCCAGATGGCCAGCGAAGTGCGTTTCGCTGGGCTGGGGGCAGGAGCAGCTTGGAGGGCGCCTTCCCGTGCTGGTCCTTCGGCGAGGTTGGGGTCGAGTTCGGGGTTGCCCTCCCAGGCGGCCAGCGAGGTGCATTCCGCTGGGCTGGGGACACGTGCATGCCAGAGTACCAGAACTCCGACGACTTCGCGTGCACGTGGTGCGGCTCGTGGTGGGTGCGCGCTTCCTGGACACCCCTTCTGTGCAGATGTGCAGCCATCGTGTCCTCCCACGGCGCAGCAAAGTAGCCTGCAACCGCCCCGTGCGAACAGCGAAGGGGCGGCAGTGCGACGACGTGTCCATGCTGAAGATAGGAACGATGGCCTCGGGCAGACTTGCCCTGTGTTCGGAGCAGTGCAAGCGCCAACGGCCACACCACCAGCAGCAGGCGGCAGCGACGCTCCGCAGCAGGCAACTCAGATCCGACTCAATGTCGCCAAGGGCGGAGCTGCGAGCGAGTGTGCGACTGTGATCCGTACGTGCTGGAGGCTGGGAACGACGCAGAGCCGTTACACCGCCGACTGAGGCAATTGGCGATCGCCTTCATGATTGACGTGCAGCCACAGACGACAGCGAGACATTTGGAGGCCAACGGCGAGTCTGGGCTAGGCCCCCGTCAGCCTCTAAATATGCATGGATTACCAGGCGGACCTGATCTTGGTGGCCTGGTTCGGCCAGCGAGTGCAGCACATATGCTTCCCATGGTAGCCAGCGAAGTGTTTCCCGCTGGGCTGGGGACACGCGCGTCCCACAGTACCATAACTCCATCGACTTCGGTTGCACATGGTGCGGCTCTAGGAGGGCGCGCGCTTCTTGGACACCTTCTCCATGCAGGTGTGCAGCCATCGTGTCCTGCCATGGCGCAGCAAGGTAGCTTGCAGCCACCTCGTGTGGACAGCGGAGGGGCGGCGATGCGACGACATGTTCATCCTGAAGATAGGAATGATGGCCCTGGGCAGGCCTGCCCTGTTCTCGGAGCAGTGCAAGCGCCAGTGGCTACACCAGCAGCAGGGGGCAGCGCCACTCTGCAGCAAGCAGCTCAGATCCGACTCAATCTCGCGAAGGGCGAGCGGCGCGTGATTGTGCGACTGATCCGTAGGTGCTGGCGGCCGAGAACGACGCAGAGCCGCTACAACGCCGACCCAGGCAATTCGCCAGCCCATACATGATTGGCGCAGAGAGAGTGGACCGAGGCATGCATCAGCAAAGTGATGGACGCCTTGCGAGCTCCCAGGTTCGCCCCATTCTTCACAGGACTGGGCGACGAGGTTGTTGCACGCGAGCGGTGGCGAAGAGCGTTTGCATGAGTGCAGGGATGCTTGGCAGGCCACCAACGACAAAAGACATGACAACTGGCAGCGCATAGCAGCACTCGAGGGTGAAGAGTATTGCCGTCAACTGGCAGCGCTCCAAGCTCACGAACAAGCTGCCAGCAACTTCCTCGCGAACGCAGGAGCGGACGGGGACCTCATGGAGGCACCGATCCCCCAACAGCTGCCAGCGGCACAGCTAGTGCCGCGCAGGTCGAGATCGCCGAGGAGGAACCAGCCAGGATCCGCCAGCGGTTCAGGCGACATACCACCTGACAGCGCTGAAAGGGCTGAGGGCGATCCGCACAGCAAAGCCGTCGACAACGGGTTTTCTCCCTGGCAAAGTGATGGGGCCCATCCAGACGCGGAGGGCGACAGCTTCTACCAGGGCAGCTCCAGCGACGACCTACGAGGCGAGACCGCTGCAGATGGAGCAGTAGAAGAAGTTCACGGACCATCAGGAGCCGTAGAAGGTGAAGAGAAGCAGCCAGGAAGCCCATCATCCCCCTGGCCATCACGATCGTCGACGGAGAGCCCCGCTGGAGACAAGTGGAGCTCCGACAGCAGCGCTGGCAGGAGGAGAGTCATGCATGGAGTCACCGATGCTATCGACCACTTCGAACGTAAAGTCAGCGCGTTCCGGGACGACGTCCAAGAACTCGAGCAGCTGCTGACGGGCACCCTCAACAAGCAGTCGGGGCAGGTCGGCAGCCAGAGCGACCCGCCTGCAGCAGCCCATGGTGAGGGCCATGCTGAACAGGCTGATGGCGGCCACCCAATGGAGCAGCTAGGGGGCACGCAGCAGGATGCCACCACGGACCCCGGCCGCCCTCGCGGCCCTCAGCGAGGAGGAGGAGAACGCGGACTAGCAGGTCCAAGGGCGGTGCGGCCGCGCTCGCCACGGGCGCTGCGCTGGGCGTGGCAGCAGTCGGGGCGGTCGTAGAGGAGGCCCCGCCAGCGCCGCAGCAGGCCAGTGGCCGCAAGCGTGTCGCCAGAGGCCAAGGCGCGGCCAACGACAGCAAGTTGGCTAGGAGGCTGACGGGCGCGGCCATGGATCGTTCGCCGCGAGGCCTCCCATCGCCACAGGAGACTGCGTTCGCCAGCGCTGCAGCTGGGCGCGGCCAGGCATCGAGCAGGCAGGACGAGGCCGTCAGGCCAGTGGTCATAGGCTGCGGCTGGCCTGCAGGGCCACCTCCAGCCATCCTGGCCGCTGGGCTGGGCACGGAGATGGGCGATGGCATGAAGCTCCACGATGGCATGAAGCCCGCCTGCGCGCCGAGCAAGCCCGACGCCTGGCCGCCGCTGCCATGTGCGGCCTTCGCGGAGCAGCGGGCCAGGATGCAGACATGCCCAGCAGCGCCGCAGGCAGCGTGCAGGAGCAGCCCCAGCGGCCGGCCTGCGTGGGCGCCACCGCGCCTGCGGACTGGCGTGCCAGCCTGGAGGCCCAGGTCAGTGCGGCTGTGCACGCTTGACAAGCAGAACAAGGGCTCGGCGAGGGCGCAGCTGCAGAGGGCTGGCGCGCACGGAGGCCCTCGCAGCACCGCAGCCGCCTGCAGGACGAGGGGCAGCAGGAGGCCAAGGGCGCTCGCACGCAGCGGGCAGGGCGCGGCGGGCCGTCCATCCGCCCCCTGCTGTAAGGCAGGGCCCAAGATCGGCGCAGCACGCCAGAGCAGGAGGAAGGAGGCGGCGCTGACGGCCGCCGCCGCGCGCGGTAGGCCGCCGCGGCTGCGCGGGGGCGCGGGGCGGCCGCGCGCTTCGCACGCTCGGCTGGCGGGTGGGGGGGCATGACGCGTGCCCCCCCCAAAAAAGCTGCTCCAAAGCTGCTGCTCCTCCTCCTCCTCTCGCCTGATCCTCCTTTCGCCTCCTCCTCCTTCTCCTCCTCCTTCTCCTCGACCTCCTCGACCCTTAGGGTCATATCATGTGCCTTCTCCTTCTTCTCCTTCTCCTCGGCCTCCCTCCATCTCCTTCCCCTGGTGGCGGGTCAGGCCGGGGACGAGGAGGGGAGGTAGTTTGTTTGGATTTTCTCCCGCAGTGTCTGTTGTGGACTGTTCGGCGTTCCTCGTATCTTACCTTGTTCCTCCTCTGCATCCGACCTCCTCTTGTCGCCATCTCTTCGAGGGCAAGATCATGTGCCTCGTGGGCCCGCCCGGCGTCGGGAAGACGCATGGCCCCCAGCGTCGCGCGCGCGCTGGTCTCACCGCCGCTACCTCCGTCGTCGCCTCCGTCGGTCTGGCTGCGTGACCTGGTCACGGGGGGTGAGTCGCTTCGACACTAGTGCATGACCGTAGTTGTAGGAGGAGAGAGACGCAGACGATACTGAGGACGCCGACAATCTGGATGCTGGTGACGATGAGGAATATGTCGATTATCATGCTGATGGCGATGGCGATGGTGATGGTGATGCTAGTGCAGATGATGAGTATGATGCTGATGCTGCTGTTGACGTTGATGAAGATGATGACGATGATGATGATGATGATGATGATGATGATGGTGGTGGTGATGATGGTGCGACTGCGCATGATGATGATGGTGATGATGATGCGGCGGACGGCGATTATGATAATATTGATGGTGCTCATGCCGGTGTCGGTGATGATCTTGGTGATGGTGGTGGTGCTGATGATGTGTGATGGTGGTGGTGGTGATGGTTGTGATGATGATGTTGGGGATGCTTATTATGATGATATTGATGATGATGATGATGATGATGATGATGATGATGATGATCATGATGCTGATGATGATGATGATGATGATGATGATGATGATGATGATGATGATGATGATGATGATGATGATGATGTTGATGTTGATGATGATGATGTTGATGCTCATGCTGATGACCTTGATGATGACGATGATGGTGATGATATCGATGGTGGTGGTGATGATGACGTTGCTGCTGCTGCTGCTGCTGAGGATGATGCTGCTGATGGTGATAATCATGATTGTTGTGATGGTCATTGTGATGGTGGCGATGATGACGACGAACGGTTATGAAGATGAAGATGAGGATGATGGCGTTGTTGTCGGTAAGTTTAGCGAGGATAAGGATACGGAGGAGGACAATTCGAGGTCTGAGCGTCAAGCGCACTACTTGACTGAGCCCCTGATGGGATTTGGATGCAGGCCCAAGCCTCTGGCTCATGGTGCTGCCTGGGGCGAACCCTCCCCCGTTTGTTCTGGGGGGGAAGGGCAGCCCCACCTGGCAGGAGACCCCGCTTCAGTGAGTGAGGGTAGCTGTCAGCGGGCGGAGGCGGCAACCAACCTTCTTTTTGCACCTCCCCCGCTGAGGAACTGTCCGCAAGTCTTCCCCCTCGCCCCCCCTCTCGAGACTGCAGCTGGCATCGTGAACCCTCGTCGGCGCCAAACGCGCGCAGAATGAGGGCTTCCATGGAACTTTGTGTCTCTTATTGGAGAGTTGGGAAGGGCGAGGACGGGGGCAAGACGATCACGCTGTACGGCCTGTGCACCTTCCGAGAGCGATCCGCTATCCCGTGTCGGGGTGAGAGCGCGCGGTGAGCACGTCCAATACCATCGATCGTCGTGGGCAAATTCGGCACCTGGGCGGTCCAAGGTCCATCGGCAAGAGCATCGCCCGGGCTCTGGACAGGAAGTTCTTCCGCTTCTCGGTGGGCGGCCTCCACGATGTCGCGGAGATCCGAGGGCACAGGACCACTGCTCCTGCTCCGTCGTCGTCGCCGTCGTCGTCGTCGTTGTCTTCGTCGCCGTCGCCGTCGGCATTGGCTCGTCCGTCGACAGACAGCGCCTGCGCTGTCCCTCCGTGCAGGCCGAGCTCCTGCGGTCTGTGCTAAGGCCGCGAGCTCTCGGGTGCGCAGCCGATGCGGCATGAGGCCTGGGCAATTTGCGCAGGGACTCTGGCGGGAGGTCGGCCCCAGTTGGCGCCGTCCGGTTCCTGGGCTAAGTACACTGGTCCAGGGCGCTGTCGGCACCTGGCATCGCCTCTGGCAGGGGCGGCACCTGGAGCGCTCCGCGCCCTGCGGCTGGGTACCGAGATCGTCCCGGACTGTCACGGGGGCCTGTCTGGCTAGCCAGGATTTGTCTGCGGAGGCTGCTTGTGCGCAGCCCTCGGCAAGACGAGGCTGGCCTCTTGCGGCTCGTGCCCACGCGGTGCGGCTAAGTTTAATAAAGTCGGGGGTGTCCTTCTACAGGAGGAATGTTCAAACATAGTAACAGAATAGTCTGGATACTTTCAACTTATATATATATATATATATCATGTCGGTGCGTTTTTTGCTTAATTCTTGTTTTTCGTTCAACATCCGCCTGTGGGGGGACATGCCCGACCTAAGGCTAAGTAAGTGCCTTCGCCTTCCTCCTGCGCGGGGCCCACGGTGCGGAACTCTGGCACAGCGTGTCGCGGCAGCCGCCCCTGCGGCACGCCATGCCCTTTCCCAGCTGAGTAGCCTGTCGCTCTGCGCCGCGGGGCGCAGGCTCGGGAGAGGCTCGGGAGGTGGATGCCTGGGGACCGGAACGTGTATGGCGGGTCGCGCCGAAGCGCGGTACGGTCCCGCGTATGGCGAAGAAGCCTCCCCCCGAAGAGCTGGTCCAGCGTTTCTTAACCAATTTGCCGGAACGCTGGCTCAGTTTCTGAAGGGAGGGGATCGGTAGCCTTGGATCCTAAAAATGAATAGTGCACGTCCCTGGCTCCAAAAGCTGGCCCAGCGTTTCCTTTAGCAACCCCACCGCTCCCTGTCCGCTGCCTCGGAGCCGCCGACCAAACAAATCCTTAAGCAACTTCTGGAAAGCTGGCCCAGCTTTCTTAAGCGATTATTTTCTTAATCATATTTTTGACTGTAGGCCAGAATTGGTGCCGCGACACGCTTAGCCAGAGTGCCCCGTACGTTCCACCCCCGTTGATCGACAGTGCCGACCAGCCCGCGGCGTCCGCGTGCTCAAACCATGCGCGCTCTTCTGTGTGCTGCCACCGCGAACAAGACGCCAAAATCTATGTGCTGCCTAGGCCCTGGGGTACCTCAAGGCATCTGTGCTCCGTGCTGGCTCGAACATGACGTGTCCCTGACGTTCTTATTATGCCGGTCCCTGTCGCTGGCATGGAGGTCTGACGCAGAGGCGTGCGATGATGGTGTCTGCTCCTGAGAGGTCAGGCGCTGGCGCGTGCCCGGCTCCGCTGAGGCGGGTCAGATGATTCACGGTGTTCCGACGACAGGCTATGCACCGGCCGTGAGGTCCTTGACTTACAGTCAAGACGCTGAGATAAGGACCGCTCTGGGTTCAGAAGGGGCTAGCTGTTCCTCAGGTCATTGTGTGGTTGTTCCTCTAGCCCTCCTCGTGCACCCAGGCGCTCTTGGCGCCAACAAAGAGACGTCGTTGCTTATCTAGCATTCCTTATGGCAACAGCTTGACTGTATGAATCCCACTACTCGCAAAGTGCCTACTCGCGAACGTCCGAAAGACACATGTCCGCTTCGATGTTATGGATCGCAAATCCCGTGCGGCGGATCCAGGCCATTGCGAGTAGAGGTTCTTTGCGAGCAGTCAACGCGCTTGTCTATGTCGTCTTATTCAGCAGTCCCTCGTGTGCTTCCGCCCCCTTACCAACGGTATGTGTTCATTGGCACGGGCCCGACTCGCGGGAGCGCAGACGAGTCTTGCGTCTCACGTGCTGCCACGGCGTGCCGCATCGCATGCTGCTGGGCAGCCCGCCGTAGCACAGCGCGGCGCGGCGTGGCACGCTGGCGTGCGGGGCAGTCCCGTGTGCGGTCGCAGCACAGCGCGGCGCGGCGTGACACATGAGAGTGCGTCGGGGAGTCCAGTGTGCGTAGTCCAGCGTAGCGCAAAATACTGGATTGCAGAGCGGCGGCGTGGTGCCTTCAGCGCTAAGGGACCCCCAAAGATGCCCCCCGTGTCGCCCCGAGGCAGCCCGATACGCTCCCAAGAGGGCCCCGCGACGGCACAAGAGGGGCCCGATACTGCTCACCAGGCTCTTCAACGGGTCCGAGAAGGCTCCAAAACACTTGCAGAGTGGCTCCAGGGAGGGGGCGCGGTAGCACATGTTGAGCCTACCCTATCAGGGATGTGGAGGAGCATGCAGTGGAATGAAGGGCTGGGCAAGACGTCATACCCCGAGAAGGGGAGGACGGAGGAGGAATCGGAGGAGGAGGGGGAGGAGGCGGAGGAGGAGGATAGAGGAATAGGGAAAGAGACGAGGAGGGGGAGGAGGAGGAGAAGGGGGAGGAGGGAGGAGGAGGAGGAGGGGAGGAGGAGGAGGAGGAGGAGGAAGAGGAGGAGGAGGCGGAGGCGGAGGCGGAGGGGAGGGAGGAGGGGGAGGAGGGAGGGATGAGGAGGGGGAGGAGGAGGAGGAGGGAGGAGGAGGAGGAGGAGGAGGAGGAGGAGGAAGAGGAGGAGGAAGAGGAGGCGGAGGAGGCGGAGGCGGATGGGGAGGAGGAGGAGGAGGAGGAGGAGGCGGCGGAGGAGGAGGGGAGGAGGAGGAGGGGAGGAGGAGGAGGAGGAGGAGGAGGAGGAGGAGGAGGAGGAGGAGGAGGAGGAGGAGGAGGAGGAGGAGGAGGAGGGAGGAGGAGGAGGAGGAGGAGGAGGAGGAGGAGGAGGAGGAGGAGGAGGAGGATAGGAGGAGGAGGAGGGGAGGAGGGAGGAGGAGGAGGAGGAGGAGAGGAGGAGGAGGAGGAGGAGGAGGAGGAGGAGGGGGAGGAGGAGGAGGAGGAGCAGGAGGGGGCGGAGGAGGAGGAGGAGGAGGCGGAGGAGGAGGAAGAGGAGGAGGCGGAGGCGGAGGCGGAGGCGAAGGCGGAGGCGGAGGCGGAGGAGGCGGCGGAGGTGGAGGATGATGAGGAAGAGGATAACGAGGAAAAGGAAGAGGCGGAGGTGGAGGAGGTTGAGGCGGAGGAGGAAGAGGAGGAGAAAGAGGAGGAGGAGGAGGGGGAGGAGGAGGCGGAGACGGAGGAGGAGGAGGAGCAGGAGAAGGAGAAGGACCAGTGCACAACCAAGGGTCATCACCGATGTTGGAATTAATCCTCCCTCCAAGCTCACTCTTCACATGCCCCCAACACGGTTCATTTCCATTGGGGGAACTGCCTCGTTAGAAGGCAACCGTTTGAAGACCCTGAAGCATGCCAACACGTTGTTTTCGGGATACCAACGCCACGTATCAACCTGACTGCTGCGCCTTGACGATCTGGAATCGTGTCAGAGCGCCATTCTTGGGACTTCAACACCGAGAGCCAACATAACTGTTGTACCCGCATAATCCTGAGTTCTTCCAACACAGAATTTCTGCTACGCTGATCATGGGAATTCGTGAAACTCTTGCACATGTTTAAAACGAATGTGCGCGGCGCTAATGCGAGAGAGGAGGAGGACGAGGAGGAGGAGGAGGAGGAGCAGGAAGAGGAGGAGGAGGAGGAGGAGGAGGAGGAGGAGGAGGAGGAGGAGTAGGACGAGGAGGGAGAGGGCAGGGGCAGGAGGGAGAAGGAATGAAGACGGAGCAGGACCAGGCAGATGCTGATGATGATGATGACGATGCTGCTGCTGCTGCTGCTGCTGCTGCTGATGATGATGATGATGATGATGATGATGATGATGATGATGATGAAGACGATGATGATGCTGATGATGATGACGATGATGAGGATTCTGATGATGGCGATGATGCTGATGATGCTGCAGCATATGATGATGCTGATGAGGTTGATGATTATGCTGTTGATGATGATGATGATGATGATGATGATGATGATGATGATGATGATGATGATGATGATGATGATGATGCGGATGATGACGATGCTGATAAGGAGGAGGAGGCTGAGGAGGAGGGCGAGCAGAAAGGCCAGAGGCCTCATGATGCCTCTCGGAGTCTCTTCGGATGTTTTTCGAGAGTTCGATCGAGTCCTCTTGGGGCGTCTTGGAGGTTTCATGGAAGTCCCAGGGGCCTCTTGGGGCGTCGTGGGTGCCTCTGGGGGGGCCTCTCGGGGATCTATTGGGAGCCTCTTGGAGGCATCTCGGGGGCCTCTTGGGGGCCTCTTGGGGCCTCCTGAACACCTTCGGGCCGTCTTGGGGCACCCTTGGGAGCTCCAGGGGCCATCTTGGGGCCATCTTGGAAGAGATCGATTCAATTAGCCCCCCCTCAGGGAGGCCAACATGTGGTCAAGACCTGAGCAACTTCAGTGATTGTTGGCCTTCTCGCCGAGGCCATCTCAGACGCTCCAACGCCTCGCGGGGCGCCCCCTCCAAACGTAGGGGGCGGGGGGAGGGGCAAACTCCTCCCCGAAGGGGAAGAGGGAAGATGGAAGAGGAAACTCGCGAAACCACTCTTAAGTCGGGCCTGTCCCTCTACAGGGGGAATATCCAAACATAGTCAAACATAAGTAGTATGGGGACTATTGTTTGACCATTTTGAATTATTTTTTGAGTATCTTCTATTTTTCGTCCAACATCCCCCTGTAGAGGGGGACAGGCCCGACCTAAAACCACTCACGCCCCGAAGGGCTGGTGGGACTACAGTCCTCCAGAGGCTCCAGAAGAGCTTCCCCGCCGCGCTCCCGCTCTTCCCTGGGGCAGCCCTCCTCCTCCTCCTCCTCCTCCTCCTCCTCCTCTTCCATCTCCTCCTCTTCCATATCCTCCTCCTCCTCTTCCTCCTCCTCCTCCTCCTCTTCCTCTTCCTCTTCCTCCACTCCAACGACCACGTTTGGGGACACTCCCGCGGGAACAGGCTCCTCCCTCCCCTGCCGCAGTCCCGTGCCAGTCCAACGGAGCTCCCTCCTCCCTGTCGGTCGAGGCCGAGCTTCTGGCCCTCCCCGAGCCCGGGGTGATTCGGGTTCGGAGTCCCGCAGAAACGAACCCGAGCCAGCCCTGACCCAAGTTCCCCCTGATGATTCGGGGCTCTGTCGACCGCCCCCGAACCCTCCTCGAACCCTCCAGCCTCCGAAGCACCACGCGACATGCACGGGCTCACCCCGGGGGCCTGCCGCCCAGAGGGCGCCGACGCCGGCGCCATGCACTCCCCGATGCCTTGCTGATGCTTCGGCGATGCAGCGTTAAGTCGGGCGTGTCCCTCTGCAGGAGGAGTATCCAAAAGCAGTCAAAAACATAATCAGGGGACGATTTTCCGATTATTTTCTCACAATGTTTGAGTGTTGTTTGTCTATTCTTTTTGCCCAAAATCCGCCTGTAGGGGGACATGCCCGACCTAAGCCTTGCTGATGCTTCGGCAATGCAGCGCGATGCTCCAACCCTTCTACATGAGACCGCTCAGCAGCCCTCGAGGGCCCCAGGACAGACCAGTACGGCCTCCCTGAGACTCCCCGGCACCCCCTCAGCCACGCAACCACGTTCCAGAACACTCCCGCCGGAACGCGTTTGTCCCTCCCCTCCTGCAACTTTTCCAGGGCAGATCAGCAGAGAGCCCCCTCCCCCCTGTTTCACAGGCCCCCTGTTTCACAGGCCCCCTGAACAGTGAGCAGTGAACGGTGATAGACAGCTGACCCCAGAGGGGTCTTAAGCTTCGCGAACGAATGAACGAAAGTTCCAACCCTCCTCGTCCCCTCCTCCGACTTTCCTCGAACCTCCTCAGGCGCTCCTCGACAGTTCTCGAAGCCTCTCGAACCTCGAATCTTCGAGCCACCACGACTGATGAATCGGTGCATCCACCGCGGCTCCTGCTGGCGCGGACGCCATGCCTTGCTGATACATCCGCGCCCGCCAGCGCAGCGGCCTCCTCCTGCAGCAGGAAGCGGGGAGGGGGACTGCCGAGGAGAAGAGGGAGGCGCAGCAGGCGTACGAGGAGGAGGAGGAGGAGGAGGAGGAGGAGGAGGAGGAGGAGGAGGCTGCACCCCCTGGTGATCAAACACGGGCCGTTTCAAGATTCAGGAGGAGGACGATGATGATGATGATGATGATGATGATGATGATGATGCTGCTGCTGCTGCTGCTGATGATGATGATGATGATGATGATGATGATGATGATGATGATGATGATGATGATGATGATGATGATGATGATGATGATGATGATGATGAGGAGGAGGAGGAGGAGGAGGAGGAGGAGGAGAAGGAGGAGGAGGAGGACGAGGAGAAGGAGGATGAGGAGGAGGGGGAGAAGGGAAGGCCCTGTTGGGCCCGACTTGGGGCATTGTCCCAGCACCTGTCTCAGGAGGCCTCCGCAGCCCCCAGGTTCACGACGTGTGCGCTCCTTTTTGCACGACGCCTCCGCATCCTCACACGCCCGCCCTCTCCCTCCACTCAGAGTCACTCGTACTCGGTCTCACTCACACCCTTCCACATCCAGACTCACTCGCACTCGTATTCGATCACACGTAGTGTCTCATTCTCAGACCACTCATGTCAAGGTTCACTCATACTCAGAAGTCCCATGATCACCGCGATGTAGCAGGTGTGGCATTTTTGTGCACCCCACGAAGGATCGGCCAGGGTTGGGACACGTGTCTGTTCGCTCCCAGATGGTTGGGATATCTCAAGCGATGCGTTCGTTTGGAGTCCCCAGCTCCTCTGCTGTGAGAGCCCCATGATCACCACGATGTAGCAGGCACAGCACCTGGGCGCCCCAATCAGGAGCCGCCCGCGGGTAGGACATTCCCTCGTTCTCGGCCCGACCGTGTTGATGTCTCGAACGAGGCGGTCGGTTGGCGTTCCCAACTCCTGTCTTTTGAGGGCCCCTGCGATCACCGCGATGTAGCAGGCACAGCACATGTGCGCCCCAAGGAGGAGCCGCCAGGGCGCGTTGCTCTTGCCAGTTCGAGGCCAGATTGTGGGGATGTCTCGAGCGAAATGCTGGTTTTGACCCGCGACTTCTCTTTGTTCAGAGCTTCATGATCAGCGCGAGGTAGCAGGCATAGCAATTGAGCACCCCAAGGGGGAGCCGCCAGCGGGTGTTACACTTCCCTGTTGGCGATCAGATCAAGGAGACGTCTCAAGAGAAACGCCGCCTGGAGGAGACCTGGAGGTGCGACCTGGAGGAGACATTCACAAGGAGAAACTGATGGAGGAGGAAGATGAGGAGGAGGAGGAAGAGGAGGAGGAGGAGGAAGAGGCGGAGGATGAGGAGGAACTCTCGTGTGACGTGTGCTTGCTAGGGCTTCGAGGGAGATTCAGCCGTGGCGTCCAGGGACCACCATGGAGACGTCTCAAGAGAAACGCTGATTTTGACACCCCCGTTTCCTCTTCTGAGTCTCAAGAACATCCCCGTGCAACTAGCAGCATTTGGACATTGCAGGCGAGAGCGCTCAATCGCCACAGGCTAAGACCCCCTCACTCAGACACTCACAGCGGGACCTGCACGGTTATGGCACATTTACGAGTCGAGGAATTCGTAGCTCCTCCTCCTCCTCCTCCTCCTCCTCCTCCCCCTCCTCCTCCTCCTCCTCCTCATTCCTTCTCCTCCTCCTCCTCCTCATCCTCCTCCTCCTCCTAGGCGTCTCGGCAGCGCGGCAGCCATCTGCCCGCCGACCCGAGCCCCCAACGGGCCATGATGCTGTACGCTGCGCCGCCATGGAGTGGGCCCCTCGACGGGGCGAGGCCCCTCGCGGCCGCGAGCCGCAGCCGGCGCCGCGCGGACCGGAGACTCCGCCTGGCTGGCCACCCGCCGCCAGGCCGAGAAGGACGCCTGCTGGGGCTGGTGGGGCATCCCGTGGGCAGGGGCCTACGAGGAGAACCCGTGGAAGCCCCAAGTAGACAAGCAGCGGAGGGAGTGCGAAACGTGGGTGGCACTGGGGGAGCCCAACACGATCAGCTACAGCTACAGCGAAACGATCAGGGCGAGCGAGGAGGGAACGGCGAAGTTGGAGCCAGACATGCTAAGCTACGGATCTGTGAACAGTGAACGCGAGAAGTCTGAAGCGAAGTTGGAGCCCGACGTGGTCTGCTACAACAATGTGATCAGGGCAACAGTGGCGGAGGCTAAGCTAGAGCCCAATTTCACTAGCGTTCTCCCCCCTCGCCCCTCGTCGCCACGGCTGGACCAGAGCAATCGGAATGTAGCTCGGTTGCGGAGGCGAATGCGAAGTCAAACGTGATCAGCTACAGCGCCGAGGTCGGCCCCGCGATCTGTGAGAAGCTGGAGGCGAAGGCGTAGCCAGAGCCCAACGTGACCAGCTACGGTGCAGAGTGCCCGCGTGAGAAGCGGGAGGCGAAGATAGAGCCCAACGTCACCAGCTACAGCGAAGCGATCGCGTGCGAGGAGGGAACGGTGAAGTTGGATCCCGACATGCCCAGCCCTAGCCCTGTGAACGGTGAGCGCGAGAAGTCAGAGGCGAAGATGGAGCCCGACACGATCAGCTACAACGCCGCGATCAGGGCAACACTGGCGGATGCAAAGCTGGAGCCCAATATCACTGACGTTTCCCCCTCGACCCCCCTCGTCGCCACGGCTGGACCCGAGAAAACGGAACGCGGCTCGGTTGCGGAGGCGAAGAATGAGCCAAACGTGACCAGGTACAGCGCAGTAAGTGAGATACGCGAGAAGCCCGCGTGTGAGAAGCTGTAGGCGAAGTTGGAGCCCGACATCGTCAGCTCCAGCGCGGAGACCAGCGCGTGCGAGAAGGGGAAGGCGAAGCTGGTTCCTGACACCCTGACCCGCAGCTCTGAGAATAGCGAGTGCGCGAAGACGGAAGCGAAGGTGGAACCCGACGCAATCTGTTACAGCGCCGCAGTCAGGGCGTGCGAGAAGGGGAAGGCGAAGCTCGAGACGGAAGAGCCAAGCTGCACAAGCATGGCGATGTGGCGGGCGCGAGCCGAGATCCCCCGCAAGTGGCTAGGCCCGAGCAGGTGGCAGCGCGAGCAGGAGAATGAGGCGAAGCCAAAACCCGACGCCGACAGCTACAACGAGGAAGGAGCAGTTGTCGCCCTTCGCGAGGCTCTTCGGGGAAGAGATCTCACAGGAGATCGGACACCCAGCAAGAAGTGCGAGAAGTGGGAGGCGAAGGCCCTGCCCCACGCCACCGACTACAGTGTTGGGATCAGAGCGTGTCAGAGCGTGGGAGAAAGATGCGAGAATCCAAGAATGGCCCCTGATAACTACTGCTTCGCCATGCGCAACACGCGGAGGGAGCATAATATCAAAGAGAAGTTCGAGGACGGCGTAAAAGGAGAAAGTTGAGAAGGCAGCCCAGGATAACCTTTGCTGGCTCGACAAGACCCAACTCGCCGAGCAGGACGAGTTCGAGAGCAACCGGACGGAACTGGAGGGCATTGCCAACCCCCTCATGCGGCACCCGCTGTCGAGAGAAGTGTGAGAAGCGAATATCGAGCCTGACGCGAGCAGCTACAGCGCTGCGATCGCGCGGGTAAGGGAGAAGAGCAGGCGCTGAGACGAGACCGCGGAGCACCCGCCCAGCGCCGCACACCCTGGGGAGCCCGCTGAGAAAGCGGGCGCGCCCAGGGGAACGGACAGGGAGCGGGCCCGCGGCCTGTGGAGAGCGCCGCCGAGCTGCGCGCGCGAGGCACGCGCGCCGTTCGATTGCCACAAAGCTGGTCGCCCGAAAGGGTCGGAAAGGGCTCCTCCTCCTCCTCCTCCTCCTCCTCCTCCTCCTCCTCCTGATCCTCCCCCTCCTCCTCCTCTCGTCCTCCTTCTCCCATTCTCCTTCCATCCTTCATCTACTCATTCATACCTGCGCGGCCGCGATGCCACCCGCCGCGCCCGGACTAGTCGTGTGCAGGCTGTCCGCCCCCTGGGGCAGACGTGAGGGTCTCGGCCTGTGGAGGCCCGCGGCGTGGTCGAGCCGCCCACGGTCGCCCCCCTCGTCGGGCCGACCCCCCCCCCATACCACCTCTGCTGCCTGCCTGGCGTGAGCAGGAGCTGACCGTGCATCGCGGTGCGAGGTCTGGGCCAGAGAGTGACCGCCACGACTGCGCAGAGCTCCACGGCCCGAGCCTGGCCGCCCCACCGCCATAACCCCCAGATCGCAGGTCTGAGAGCCTGCGCTTCCCAGACCTCCTGCTCCTCATCCTCCTCTCTGTCTCTCTCTCTCCTCTTCCTCCCCGCCTTGCTCCTCTTCCTCGTCCTCCTCTTCGTCCCCTCCCTCCTCCTCCTCCTCCTCCTCCTCCTCCTCCTCCTCCTCCTCCTCCTCCTCCCTTCCCCTTCGGCGTGGAGGTGACCCTGCACCGCGCTTCGCGCCCGGGGCCAGAGGGTCGGCGCCCCCCACGGTCGGAGATAAGGGGGACGCGAGGCCACGAGCTGCCAGCGGGGAGCCTCCAACGAGGAGGTCCTCACGGTGCCTCCCCAGGCTGGAGGTCTGGGATGGCGCGAGCGGGGTGCCCCCCTTAAGCAGGACACCGCACCACCATAGGGGGGCCCTCGGTGGCCCATGCCGCTCTGCACCCCGAGCTGTCCTCCGCGCTCGGGTTCTCAGCTGCCTGGGTCTGCCCCGGGACGGAAGAGCGCGTGAAGGGCGCGATGGTTCTGGTTTCTGTATATACGGGTGTGCACGTATACGTTCGCATATCTTTCTCTGTGTATATATATGTATATATACAGAGAGAGAGAGAGAGAGAAACAAAAAAAAAGAGAAAGAGAGAGAGAGAGAGAGACAGAGAGAACGAGAAGGAGAGAGAGAGAGAGAGGGAGAGCAAGAGAAAGAGAGAGAGAGAGAAGAAAGCATCAACACCACAACACTTCACATGAAAAGCGTCTGCACTCTCGGACCCGCCCCTCTTGCCCCTGGACTTCGCCTTCTCTCGTCCAGCTATGGCGGCGAAAATTGTCGAGCGCCTCGCAGGCTGGAGTCTTCCTTCTGGCGGACTGCTCGGCCGCACTGTCGGCAAATAATGCGTACACGTATACGCTCATGTGTGCAAGGGGGCTTGATCACGCATGGCTGGCTCAGCGCGCATTCTTACGGATATGTGCGAGTGGGGGGATGCAGGCAACCACGCGTACAGGCGACCATGTGTACATGTGAGCAGGTGCCAGTATGTGTGAGAGCGGGTGACAATGTGTGTGTGTGTGTGTGTGCGTGAGTGCGTGCGTGCGTGCGTGCGTGCGTGCGTGTGTCTCTGTGTGTGTGTGTGTTGGTGTGGGTGCGTAGCGTAATTGCTGCATGCTTGCAGGCTCGCGCGCGCGCGAATGGGCTGTGCGGACACGAACATGCATGCGTGCACGCGCCTGTGTTGAGTGTGTGCAAGGAGGTCGACGACAAGGGCACATGAAAGCACTCCCGTCTCTCACGACCCATGCTGGCGAGCCTTTTGTACAGCTTGTGCACCTGGAGAGGGGCTTTGCCTCAGCGAATGCCAGGCGCACCTACGTGGGCGCCATGCCGGGCAAGATCATACAGGCTCCGCTGCCCGGGACGCCAGTCTCCGTTGAGTATGTCGAAAGTGGCACGGGGCCCTCGCCTCCTTTTGGGCCCCTTCCCCTCTCGGACAGGTGCCAGCGTGCCAAATACAGCGCGCTTGGCACTGGCGTGTCTTTTCGTGCGTCGAACGGATCACTTTCGCTTGCTGGAGCAGGTCGCGGCATTGAGGCGCCGGTTTACCGTTCGGGGCATTCGAGCACTCCTCGTTCCTTTGCGTGTGCGCCCTGCACCTCCGCGTGGGTGGGCATTGAGGGTTTTTCAGGACTGCTGTGTTCACCCGCTCGCGTCCTCGTGCTGATTACGTGAGTTGCTGCTGCCAGGCGCTGAAGATCACGCAGGTCTCGAACCCGGTGATCCTCATCGACGAGATCGACAAGCTCGGACGTGATTACAGGTGGGGAATCGCGAACCGAAGCCCCTGTGGGAGTGTGACAGGGTGCAAGGACCCTTGGCCACACCCCCAGGTCATCCCACACCCACTGCTTCTTCCTCCCTGTCCCCCTCCTCCCCTCCCCCTTCCCTGCCCCTCCAAGACTGACCCTCCTGGAAAAAACCCGCGGGATTCTCCAGGGCCCCGTGGACTCCCCAGACCATCCAAGGTCCTGCGCCTCTCGTTCCCTTCCCCCGCACCACCCGAGCATTGCCATTGGGTGGAGGGCAAAGGGTGAAGTCTGCCGAGGTTGAATCTGCCGAAGGTGAATCACAAGACGGATTGCTTTTCAAGGTGCGAAAGCCCATCTGGATTTCACCCTGAGCCCTCCACCCTGAGAACATGCTCAGGCCGCTCCCCCTCACCCCACCGCCCTCCATCCGCGCAGCTGTACCAGCTGTTCCAGTCTCTGGTGCTCAATATTGAGTCGGGCCTGTCCCTCTACAGGAGCAATCATCAAAAATAGTAGGAAAATCGTATGGGGACGATTTGTTCGACTATTCTTGATCATTTTGGAGTATGTTGCGGGTATTCTTATGTTCGTCCACAATCCACCTGTAGGGGGACATGCCCGACCTAAGCTTAATATCAGAGCTGTCTCAAACAAAGACCCTACTTTGAAAAGGAGCCGCCCGCCACCCCTCGTAGCTGTTGCGAGCCTTTGGCACGAGCGTGCGCGGCGCTGATGCGAGAGCCTCGTCTTGAGAAGGAACGGCCCTCGATCCTTGAAGCTGCTGTTAGCTTTTAGGTCGGTTGTGCGCGGCGCTACAGCGAGAGTCCCATTTTGAGAACGACCCCCCATTCATCTTTGAAGCTCTCGCACAGTTTAAGCTTCGGGATCATAACTGCTTGGGAACTCTCTGGCGAAACTCCTGGCCCGCTCCACCGACATGCCTGGAGGTGCGACCTCGAAGAGACATTCATCAAGAAAAACGTATGGAGGATGAATATAAGGAAGAGGAGGATGAGGATGAGGAGGAGGAGGAGGATGAGGAGGAGGAGGAGGAGTAAGTGAGTGAGGCAATCGCTAAGCGAGTCGTTATCTTTAATTACCACCTCTCTCCCCACCACTTAGAAGTACTCGAAAACGTGATTCCTGACCTTGACGTAGTGGAACACAAGGAAGACCACAAACTTGCCAAGGAGCGAGCGAAGCATGAAACCACAGAACGTGTACTTCACCATATTTTCGAAAGACTCATGTTCCTCGCAACACATTCCCCGAGCCCACCAAAGGTATTGAATACACACTCTGAGCGAAGAATGCTTAACAAGCGCGAATTTGGTTCTATTAGGCCCACTATAGAGGTTGGCAGCCCAGGTTGCGAGCCAGGGATACACCACCACATGGTCATCGGGCATCCTCGAAAGAATATCGCCTCCGCCACCCGCCTCGCACCCTTGCACACCAGAGACGCAATACAACCAATAAGGTGAAGCAAAAGAAGTATACTCACGATATGCACCAACATTACCCCAAACTTGAGATGCCAATGACTGCGATAGCACCCGAAGCACCGCCCACAACTTACAGGGTCACATACACCCCCCGTGCGGTGATGGGGGAAACCGGCACTGTAAATGATGGCACCAGCAGCGACAACCACAGGTAGCATACACCCCCCGTGCGGAGGTGGGGGAATGCGAAACTGTAACTGACGGAACCTTCTGAAGCCCAGGCCGTGCCTGAGAGAAATTCGCACTGTTTAGCCACCAAGCGGATGGAGCCGACAGGTTTCACCCGACAAGGTGCCACTCAAGCACCGCGATGAGGTACAGTGCTGGAGGGGCCATGAGCGAGTTGGAGCCAAAAGACCCGACGCGCCCGGGGCCCCCCGCTGTGCTTGAGGGAGGAGGAGGAGGAGGAGGAGGAGGAGGAGGAGGAGGAGGAGGAGGAGGAATTCTCGTATGACGTGTTCTCGCTAAGACTTCGAGGGAGATTCAGCCGTGGCGTCCAGGGACCACCAGGAAGCCCTAAAAGGCAGAAAGCGGCGAATCTCTCCACTCCTTCCTCCACCACCTCCTGCCCCTGTTCTCCCTCCTCCCCCCCTATCTCTCAAAACGACGGCGACGACGGCGACGACGACGACGACGGTCACATCGATCACGGCAAGGACGGCGACAACGACCACGACACCCGCGGCAGCGACGTTGCCAACGACAACGACAGCGAAAACGATAACGACGACGACGGCAGCGGGCAGCCTCGGGCGCAACGCGCGCGCCTCCCGTTCTCCCACCCCCCCCACAGGGGCGACCCGTCCTCCGCGCTGCTGGAGGTGCTGGACCCCGCGCAGAACAACACCTTCCGCGACATGTACCTGGACGCGCCAGGCGCCCTCCCTCGGATCTCCCGCCCTTGGAGGAGGGAGGCTCGAGCGATAACATCATGCTGGAGTTCTTGGTTCCCCACGTGCAGAACAGGGCTTTTTTTTCTCCCCACCCGCGCCGCACCAGCTTCTCCTCATACCTCCCCCTCCTCTCCTTCTCACCCGTCCACACACACACTTTTTAATGTCCGCGAGCACCAAGTGGTCCAAGACAGTCAGGCGCCGGTCGTAGCAGGCTGTGGGGTGCACTGGGAGCGAATTGAGGCGCGAAAGCGGATGAGAACAGAGCGTGGAAGTGCGCACACACACACACACCGTACGCCCGCAAGCATACACACCACCATTGCACAGACACGTAGGACGCGGCACGCGGTGGTTACCTTGCCCGCGTCACCGCGCGCAGGCTGGCAGGCGTAGCACTTTGTCGTTACCAGTGGTGGGGGGCGCAGGCTCTGGTTACCTTATCCGGGCCCACGCTCACAGGGCGTGGCAGGTGTGGCGGGTCTCTAGCCGTTTCGGCGGAGGCTCGGTCCACATGGAGTAAATCCCTACGAAGTGTTCGGTCTCCGTCTGGACTTACTCCGTCTGGACTCAGCCGCACGTGATCAGGAGGCTAAGTCCATACGGAGTAAATCTATACGGAGTGCTCGGTCTCCGTCTGGACTTATTCCGTCTGGACTTCGCCTCTCTTTACCGCTTCACGCTCGCAGGGCTTAGCACTCTGTGGACACGGGGTGCGCAGGGGGTAGGGGGCGTGGCAGGCGTGGAACTTTCTCGACACCAGAGGAGGGGGGCGCAAGGTGTAGGGGGGCTCCGCCCGCTTCAGGCTTGTAGGGCGTGGCAGGCGTGGCACTTTCTTGGCCAAGAGCGTGGGATGTGTCAACTCGCTTGTAAAAATAAATTGCACCGCGTAGGAGGCACCGCAGATGCTGCACCGAATAGCATGCACCACGTAGCTAACACCACATATATCTTCTTATGACGCAACATAGGATCTACCAGTCGCCCATCTGGAATTATCATTCCCCACCAGGATGTTGTAATTTACATATGGTTCTGTTTTGTCGTACGCTCTGTATGGGGATTCGCACCATCGCAGGCGGGCCAGTGTGCCCACCCCCTGCCCCCCCGCATCCCTGACAAAGAACGCAATGCGCGCGCGTTCGTTTATCGCAGATCATCAGTTTACAACAATTCCTTGCTGTAGAAACGAACCAATTAGGCAACTTCCACACGCGCGCGTCGTCGTCGCGCGCGCACGCCGGAATCGTTCCACAGCTTTAGCGTTCGTCTCGTCAGGATTTCAAGACCGAGTTTTCAGAAAACACATAATCACAGGTGTTGCGACATGATTTTCCCCGAAAGCGTCTCCACGCGCGCTCTTGCGAATTCTTGCGGCACGCGGGTGTTTTCGTATTCTCATCCGTTGCGACTAGCGAGGTTCTCGCGGGCGCAAATCGGAATCATTCGAACGCCTTTGCGCGCGTTGGGGGGGGGGGGGCGCGATCTTAGTAAAATCGTATCACGCGTGCCACTCACGCCCTTCCACCGCTCGCGCATGTCGAATTCCTTCTACGACCTTCATTACCGACCATACCGGGAGACCATTCTCGCCATCTGCGTGATCGGCATCGGCGCCGTCATTGGCCTTGCCGTCGTCATTGTCACCATTGCCACCAGTAGGGCTTCTATCATCAATTTGTCAGCCTTTGTCGACGTCGCCATGATGCCGCGCCCGCCCGACTCGCGGACTCGCATTGAAGCGCCCGCGCGTCAGCGCGGCTTGCGATTCGCGCTGGGGAGAGCCCGGCGGTCAGCGTCACCGCGTCCGCGTCGGTCGCGCCAGACTAGCTGGCCGCTCTGCGCGCGAGCCTGAGCGCGCTGGCGCGGCCAGTGCGACCCGCCAGCCAGCGCTAAGCACTCATCGCAATCGCCGCCGCATGGGTTTTGCGCGCCAAGGTGCGGGGCGGGTTGGTGGGTGGGATGATCGCGCGAGCAGCGGAGCTAGCAAATCTCACGTTCGGCAGGGCGAGTTGCATTGCGTAGATGGCACCACGCATCTTGCGCCGCATATTCCTATTTGAGTTATCTCACACCAGCAAGCTGACGCAGATGGGCGCCGCCCCCCTCCCCCCCCATAGAATCTGGCGGGCCCCAGAGGCACCAGGGGTTCCCGAGGCTCTCGCTGGTCCCCCACTCGGGCCGCCACTTGTGCCTCCCAGACCTCGCGGAGTCCCCGCTTGGGACCTCGCGGAGCGGCCCGACATCGCTCGCAGCAACCTCGACGCAGCCCCGAATGCCACCGAGGGAGCCCCCAGAGTGTTTCAGAGGTCCGCGAGCACGCCCCCGAAAGACCGAAATGCAGCAACAACATACGGGGATGTTATATTGTTTGCCTTCTCGCATTCCCGCCTCCGATGAACCTCCAAGGCTTCAAAATTGCCCCCGGCAGGCCCTCCGACAGGTTCCCGAGGGCCCCCCCCTGAGACTCCCCAAGCGGCCCCAAGTTGCCCCCAAGCCCCACGAACCTCCACAACACAACCCCCAAGACGCTCCCAAGAACCTTCTAGAGGTTCCCACACGGCCCCCCAAAAGGCCGCCAGAGGTTCCCCAGAGGGCCCCAAAAGGCCGGCAAAAGGGCCCAAAGGCTTAGAACACCCCTCCTCGCCGCCCCCCCGTCACCTTCCCACCCCCCCTCACCCACTTCCGTCGGGTTCCTGAGCCCTCAATGTCCACCCAAGAGGCCACCCAAGAGGCCCCCACGAGGCCCCCAACACGCGCCAGGGCCCCGACGAAATCCCAGAAGGCTCCCAGAGACTCCTAGCAACGTTGCTTCGCCTCCCCTTCTTAGAGACCCCCGCCACCTCATCCGCCTCCTCGTCCACGGTGCACAGTTGTGTCTTCTTGAGGGCTCCAGGACCGCTACGACACCCGCCTTCGGACACAGAAACGTTGCAACACAACGAAACAAAAAAGGCCGGGTCGGAGGGGCAGGATGTCGGCTATTGCACTAGCGCGCCTGGCTCGTCGTTCCCCTGCCCTCTCCGCCGCTTCCCCTCGATCCATCCCCTCCTTCCTGGCATCTCCCCTCCCGCTCTTCGCTTTCTTCCTCCCTCCTCCCGCTTCTCCCTCCTCCCCCCCCCACCTCCCCTTCCCTGACCCCCTCCGTGCTGCCCCCCTCTGCTGCCTCCCGCCCTCCCTCCTCGGCCCCTCCCTCCCTCCCTCCCGCCCCCCCCCCGGCCCGGCTCTTCGGGGGCGACATCCCGGGCGCTGTCCTCCTGCTCCGTCCGCCCTCGCCTGGCCTGTGCGCCGTAGGGCCGTTGGCTCTCACTCGCCTCTTCGTGCTCCCCTCCCTCCCTGCTCCCTTCCGTCATCGGTGGCAAACCATTGGGGCCTTTCGTGTCGTCGATGACTTAGTGCGGATTTCGCGTCGACGAACGTCTTGACATCGATGTAGCGTCGGTTTAGCGTCGATGTGGCGTCGATGAGCGTCGGCCGACAAGATGGTATGGGATGCTCCTATGAGTTGCCGCAGAGCCTTCCTTTTGTTTTCTTTCTCCCTTCTCCTCCTCGTCCTCCTCCTCCTCCTCCGCCTCCATGTGTTCCCCGAAGGCTTTCCGCAGCGGCTTGAGGAACATTTAGCCCGATAGTTTGGGCAAGCTCAGGCCCAACTTTCGGCCACAGAGGCGCTTTCCCAAAAGGCAAGGGCCGGCGTCAGACGGGCCAGAAAAGCGAGGTCAGGGCAACGCCAGAGGGGGCGAGGAGCTCCTCCTCCTCCTCTTCCTCCTCCTCCTCCTCCTCCTCTTTCTCCTCCTCCTCCTCTTTCTCCTCCTCCTCCTCCTCCTCCTCTTTCTCCTCCTCCTCCTCCTCCTCCTCCTCCTCCTCCTCCGCCTCCTCGGTGGTTCGTGGCGTGGCCCGCGTCGTCCTCGGAGCGCCGCGGCAGCCTGCGAAGCCGGCGAGGCTGCCAACCGCTCGCGCAGGATAGCACCGCTCGCCGGCCCCTCCCCGGACCGGTGGGGCGCGCTGTGTGGGCCTCGAGCCGCACCGACGGCCCGGGACTGGCGAGGGCCAGGCGCCGGCTGCGGCGCCCTCGCCCGCAAGCCCGCCGGGCCGAGCAGCGGCCGCGGGCGAACGCGGGTGCCGACACCGCTGCAGAGCGCGATGTGGAAGGTCACGCGCTCCCAGCGGCCGCAGTACCGTCGGACCGAGGTATAAGATCGAGGGCGGTTCGGGGAGGGTCTCCTACTGTTCTTCGTGTTTGTTGGGTGCTCTTGTGCATCCCGGGGAGGGTACCCATTGTACGTCCTATGTGTGTTTTGGCCGGCAGAGGGTCTCATGTTCTCGAGGGATGTTCGTCTGGCCTAGGTTCGACTGTAAGCCGCATCGGGGGCATCGACGACACGGCTGGGACAATTCTCGGCCACGTGGCGTCGACTGTGGCCCTGGAAGCCGGCGGAGGCCGATCGCCCCGGCCCGGCCCGCGCTCTTGCTTCCTCCCCCCCGCCCCTCCCCTCTCCTCAACTGCGGTTTTGCCTTTGCCTCCGCCTCCGCCCTTCCTCCTCATCGGCCGGAGGTCGACGGCTCCCACTGTCGGCTACACGTAAGAGTGGCCTTTCGCCAGAGTGATTTTTGATGCGGGCACACTGGGGCCCCCAGGGGACTGACCGCGATGCGGTAGCAGCGTCTTGCGCGCTCGGGTTTGGCCTCCCCGCGGCCCCCGAAAGTCGCGCACCAAAAGCCACTCTTGCATAGGGTTTTTTTGTTGCGTGTAGCTTAAATCAGGATGGGGGTGGACTTGGCGAGGGGTTTGGCTTTTTTCGGCTTCCTGGATTGGGTTACGGCCGAGGCTCTCAGTGCCCGTGCTGCGAATCGCAGGAGCCGTGCGGCTCGCGCCGAACCCGACACAAATTCGCCTTGAGCTTAAGCCCTGGCCTGTGAGTCGCCCTTGGCTCCAGGTGGCGACCTCTTTGAGGCCGCGGTGCCGCCTTTGGTTTAGATGCGCGTTGGAATGCGACCGCTTCCCCAGCGGGTGCCGGACTCCTCCTTCTCGTCGTCCTCCTCCTTCTCCCTGCCTCTTCCTCGCCCTCCTCTGCAGCAGATCCTCGCTCGCCGAAAGGTGGAAGTCTCGCCCTCGGCGGAGGCCAGCGGGAGGTGTGTGGAGCCCAGCGGAGCTTAGGCGAGGGCGGCTCTGCCGGCGAAAGCGGGCAGCCATTCAAAGTTCGCAGCGGAGGAGCCGGGTCCCGAGGGCAACGGGTCCCGAGGTTTCGCGCAGTTTTGGGCAGCCCGGGGCCCTCCACGGGCTCCAGGACTGTCAGGAAACGGCTCCGTTTTTCACTGAGGGCCCGTTTTCCTTACGCTTTTTTTCCCAATTTGGTCCACGGTGCGCCCAGGGTTGTCCAGAGCTGGCAATGCCACTAACACACCATGCAGTGAGAGATGCTTGCGCCACTGCGCATTTGCGCCTCGGTCCATCGTCCGCATGCGAGTGTTTGGCAGGGAACTTCTTTGGGGGAAGGTCCCCTCATCCTCCATCATGTCTCCCCCTCCTCCCATTCCACCTCCTCCTCCTGCTCCTCCTCCACCTCCTCCCTCCTCCCGCATTGATCTTGCCCCCTTATGTTACTTCTCTTCCTCTTCCTTCTCCTCCTCCTCCTACTCCTCCCTCTCCTCCCTCACCCTCCTCTGCCCTCCTCCCTCATCTTTCTATCCCTCCTTTTCCCGATCTCCCTCCCCGCCCCTCTCCGTCACCATCCTCCTTCTCCTCACCCCTCCTTCACCTCCAACCTTTCTCTCCTTCCTCCCCCCATGCGCAAGTACACAATACGAGCACTATTGTCCTTCCTCCCCTAATGCTCCCTTTCGTTTTGTCCGCCATGCGATTTTGCAACACCCAGGTTTGTCACGAGTTGGCTTTCGATGTCGTGTTTCTTTTTAGGACGTTCTCGGTCCTTTTGAAGTTGTGCTCCCGCTGCAGCGCAGCATGACTACCATGTTTCAGGGATCACTGTCATCTAGGACACCCCAGCCACTGGATAGAAACGAATTCAGCGCACTGGGATGGGCTGGATGGGAGGGGTAGGATGTCAGAGATGTCGCGGGCGCACCTATCTTGACAACAACACTTGTGTCATCTCTCCCCTGATGGCGTGTTTGTGTTTCCCCCTGCCTGTCCCGCATACTTTTTTCACGTTGGGTATTGCTTTCGATGTTGCCTTTCCCGATCAGAGCGTCTTCGACCCTTCAAAGTGGTGCTCCCGCTGCAGCTTTGGCAGTATTTCAGGGTTTGCGTTATGCTCATGTCGTTCGGAATTGCGCTCTCGCCCCAGTGTGGGCTACACCGGGATCCCGCTCATTCCATGTCGTTGCCGTCCCCCTTTTTTGTCCCTCTCCACCTTCCCCTGCTCCTCCTGCTCCTCCTGCTCCTCCTGCTCCTGCTGCTTCTGCTCCTCCTTCTCCCTCATCATCCTGCTCATTCTCGTGCTCATCCGCCACCACCTCCTTCTCCTCCTCGTTCAATCTACGAAGCGCATGCCCGGTCTGGTCGCGAATCTCACGACAGGATCATTTTGGGGATCGAGGTCATCTAGGACACCCGAGCCGACGGATATAACATAATCCAGAGCAATGGGAAGGGACGGGAAGTCAGATCTGGCGCGAGCGCCCCCAGACTGTCCCACATCTTTCTCCCCCATCAGCCGCCCTGTCGTTGTCGTCAATGTCCTCCTCCTGTTCCTCCTCCTCCTCCTCCTCCTCCCTCCCCCAGTTGACCTCTCGCGCGTGCTCTTCGTGTGCACCGCCAACATCCTGGACACCATCCCCGGGCCGCTGCTGGACCGCATGGAGGTCATCACGCTGGCCGGCTACGCCGGCGGCCCAGAGCGTGCCGCCGCGGTGGGGAGGAGGAGGGCGGTCGGGGGGGGGAGGGCAGCGGGCGAGGGCGCATACCCCCCTTGCGTCCTTCGCTGCCTCGATGCGCCCGTCGAGAAACGCGACGCGTGCCGTGTTCAAGACGTTCGTGCTGGCACGCTGCGTGTTGGCTCGCCGTGTTGGCCCACGTTTTGGCGAACGTGTCGCGCAAGACCTGCGTGCTCAGTCTGCGTGTTGAGCTCTGTGTCGACACGCTACGTGTTGCGTGCTGCGTGTCGGGGCAGCTAAGCTCGCGTCGTTGCACGGCGGTCGTTGAAGGCAGGTGTTTCGGGATTCCCAGATCCCAGTCTACTTCAAGCGCCTTCCTACCTCAAGAGTCGATGTGTGTGTGTGTGTGTTTGCTGTTGGTTGTTACTCTTTGGGCGGGCCCGAGCCCAATTTACTTTGTTCGCCTTCCTACTTCAAGCTTCCACCTACATCTTCCGACTGGCGGGTAAACAGCAGCACGGTTTTTTGTTGGCATTTTGTCGGTTCTTGTAGGCCCTTAACTTGCATCGTGGCCGTCCAACAACGACTCGGGATGAGAAGCCGATCCCGGGAAGGGGTCGAGACCCTCGGCGGCCGACGCTGTGAGGAAGTCGCGATGTCGGGGGGGTCTGTCGGCGGCGAGCGAGGGAGGAAGTGAGAAGGAGAAGGCCTTCTCGGAAGGCGGCGGGACTTCTCGGAAGGCTCCGGGCCTTCTGATAAGTTTTTTATTTGTTTTGTTGAAGGGAGGCTTAGGAATCTCCTCAGAAGGCCCGAGGCCTTCGGAGCCTCCTGAGAAGGCCCACCACTTCTCTCGCTCCCCGCCGGGCGCGCCGCCCATCTCGATGGTCTTGGGAGCCTCGTGGTCCTCGCCGGCCCGTCGCGGGCCTCCGGGCGCCTCCGGAGGCATCCTGGGGAGCCGGAGGCCCCCCGAGGTCTCCGAGGAGAAGGGGGCGGGGCGAGTGGGGGGGGGCTGCCTTCTGCGAGGGCACCGGGCCCCAGCCCTGATGGCGCAGTGAAGAGGCGGCCTCACCTGGGTCCCCGTCTTCGTATCAGAGATGATAAATCTGTGTCGTCTGCTTCGATGCATCTGCAGGCAAGACTCTAAGACCCCCTATCAGTAATGTTTCTGGCCCTCCTAACTCCGGTACCCTCCCAAAGGGTCAGGGGCCCTTCTTTGTTGATTTGTTTGCTCATGTGATGCTACTGTGTGTGTGTGGTGCCTCTGTCGGTCTGCGCACGCACGAGTTGTCTTTGTGCTCTTGCTTCTGTGCTCGTGGCCGCCGTTCTCAGCAAACCCGCTGCCCACTCTCCCTCCTCCTCGTCCTCGTCCTCCGTCCTCTTCGTTCAGGCCGTGTCTCGAAAATTTAGCGGCCAGGGGTATTTTTTTATTCACCAATCAGTGCTTGCACTGAAGGGGTCGCCGCAGAAGTTGAAGGATTTGGCGAAAGTTTCCCGCCGATTTTGGTCGCACGCTGCGTTCCCGGGTTCCCGGTTCTGGGTTCCCGGGTTCCCAGTTCCGGGTTCCGGGCCGATTTCGGAGGGCGGTTCCCGGGTTCCCCGGTTCCTGGTCGATCTTCTTACCGATCGGTTTCACCATCGATTTCATTACCCACTTCTCTATCGGTCTCACCATCGATCTCACAATCGATCCCACTGTCGATCTCACAAGCGATCTCACTAGAGATCGCCTGAGCGATCTCGCGATCGATCTCATTATCGATCTCATTGAATCGATCTCACTCTCGGTCTCACGATCGACCTTGCAATCGTCCTCACTATCGATTCCACTATCGAGATCATTATCGATCTCATAATCGATCTCAAGATCCACAGCATTAATTTTCCAACCATCCACTGATTGGGTTTTCTCAGGTGTAATTCATTCTCCAATCAGTGCTTGCACTGAAGGGGTCCTAGCGGAAGTTGAAAGATTTGGCGAAAGTTTCCCGCCGGTTTTGGTAGCAGGCTGGGTTCCTGGGTTCCCCGTTCCGGGTTCCAGGTTATATTGGTTCCGGGCCGATTTCGGTGGGTTCTGGGTTCCTGGGCTCCCGGGTCCCGGGTCGATCTCCTCAGCGAAAACCATCCACTGATTGGGTTTTCCTCTGGTGTAATCATGTCTTCTCTCGTCGGAAGGAAGGCTCCGACACCTGTTGGCAGGCGGGCGAGAGGGTCCAGTTGTGGCGCTTCCTCCGCCCCCCCCGAGATGATGTCGCCGACGCCATCGAAGACCCCCCCTTTTGAACCTTCTCGGACGGCCGCCCCCTCCCCCTTGAGGAGGAGGAGGAGGAGGAGGAGGAGGAGGAGGAGGAGGAGGAGGAGGTGGAGGAGGAGGGCAGAGAAGGAGGAGGAGGGCAGAGGAGGAGGGGGAGGGCAGAGGAGGAGGAGGAGGAAAGAGGAGGGACGGGGGCGGAGGGGGGAAGGCTTGAATCGGGGTGATGCGGAGCGGCTTGGTCGCCCTTTGCTCTTCCTCTCCCTCCTTCTGCGTCCTTGTCCTACTCCTCGTCCTCGTTGTCGCCTTCCTTCCCCCTCCTCTTCCCCTCCCCCCCCAACTTTCTCCAGGACTCCCCCAAGACCCACCAGTATCCCCTCAGACTGTCCAGGGACCCATCATGCCATCCTTCTTCTCTTCCTCCTGTTTTCACCTCTTTTGCTCCCCCCCTCGTTCTCCCCCACCTCCCTCACCTCGGGAGCGGGCTGATAGCAGCGCTGCCCCGGTCAGTTCAGGTCTACGAGGAGAAGGTCGCGATCGCGAACCAGTTCCTGATCCCGTCCACCATCAAGGAGAGCGGCATCGGCAGGGGCACGTAAACGTGCGTCATTGCGCGTCGCCGCTGAAATTTTTGTAGTCTGTAGGTCGCCCGCAGCGGCGCGAAGAGAATCACGCTGCTCGCGTCGAGACCCAGGCCCCCCGGGGAGTGCCCCGGCTCTCCGTGGGAGCCGCGCGAGAGCGTCGAGATCGCCAACGGTCCGCGACCCGCGCGGCTCGAGGTGCGCAGTGGGGTGACCCGCGCAGCCATCACGAGTGATGGGCCAACTTTCAACCGCCACTGCCATAGGCAGGACGCGGGAGAAGGGAGGATGGGGAGCTCCTCCTCCTCCTCCTCCTCCTCCTCCTCCTCCTCCTCCTCCTCCTCCTCCCTCTCCTACCTATGGTAGTGGTAGTGGAAGATCGGCCCATCAATGAGCGTGCAGCAGCCGCGAAGGAGCACGGGATCAGCGACGAGCTCATGGAGCTGCACCCCGAGGCCGTGCGGCAGCTCATCCGCGACTACGCCAGAGAGGCCCGCGGGATCCCCAGGTGACCCGTGGCACGGCACCTCCCGCATCTCCTCTCCTTGCCCGGAGCTTCGGCATCGGGAACAGTTTGGGAGCCTTGAGACGGGGGTCAGTGCAAATCGGGGTCGGCCAGGGCGCCAGATTTTGGCAGGATCCCCCCGCTGATGCAAATTCGGGTTGCTCTGGTCCCTTCTTCTCCTCCTCCTCCTCCTTCTCCTCCTCCTCCCTATTCCTCTTCGTCCTCCCGCTACTTCCCCCCTTCCTTTGCGAGGGAGGATGTTTCGAACGTGCTCATCCTCCGCCTCTCCTGATACAGCTGCAGTTTCTGTTTATTAGTGTTGTCCGCATTTGTATATGTTTCCATCCTCTTCTTATCCCGCCTGTTCCTCTCCCCCTCCGAAGCGGGGGCCGTGGCCAGGCTGGCGTGCGCGAGCTGCGAAAGCTCTTGGAGAAAATAGCGAGGAAGGTCGCGTTGGCGGTAGTCCGCACCGAGGAGGGTAAGGACGTCGGCTTTTCGGGGGCGGGGGAGGGCGGGGCTCAGGATAAGGGGGGAGGATGTGGAGGAGGGGGATGGGGAAGAGGGAGGGGGAGAAACGGGAGGAGGAGTGGAGGAGGAGGAGGAGGAGGGCAGAGAAGGAGGAGGAGGGAGAGGAGGGGGAGGAGGAGGAGGATGAGCAGGAGGAGGAGGAGCAGGAGGTGGGGGAGGGGGAGCGGGAGGAGGAGGAGGAGGAGGAGGAGGAGAAGGAGGAGCAGGTGGATCAGGAGGAGGAGCGGGAGGGGGAGGAGGAGGAGGAGGGCGAGGAAGAAGAGGAGGGGGAGAGAGAGAGAGAGAGAGAGAGAGCGAGCGAGAGAGAGAGAGAGAGAATTCAAAAACGGAGGAGGAGGAGGAGGAAGAAGACGATTACGATCTGGGGGAAAAGAAGGGGCGGGGAGGAGGAAGGAGATGAATAGAGCGATTGTTTGTGTGTACAGGAGGATCAGGAGCGGGGGGGGGCATGGTGATGAACAGTTGGTGGAGGAGGATGTGGGAGGGAGGGAAGATGGAAGATAGTGTTATAACTTTGCGGATGTTGTTCTGAGGGATCTCGAGGGCCTTCGAAAACGCGTCCTGACATGTTCGTTGTGTGTTTGAGGTTTCGAGGTTTCCGAATACGCGTTGAGGATGAGGCTGGTGATGATGATGTTGATGCTGACGTCAATGCTGCTGCTGAGGATACTGATGGCGAGGCTGATGATGATGCTGATGCCGATGCTGGTGATGAAGCTGATGCCAATACTTATCATGGCGATGGCAACGATACTGAGGATGTTGCTGTTGAAGATGATGCATGTGATGATGACGGTGGCGACGGTGCTGATGATGCTGATGCTGCTGATGCTGATGATGATGCTGATGAAGAGGAGGATGAGGATGATGATGCCGATTACGATGACGATGACGGTGGCGATGATACCATTTTGTATACTGATGATGCTGATGATGATGGTAATGAGGCAGATGATGATGATGATGATGATGATGATGATGATGATGATGATGATGACGATGATGATGCTGTTGCTGACGATGATGAAGACGATGACGCTGATTTCGATGATAGTGGCGATACTGCCGGTAATGATGAGTTTGACGAGGGTAGTGTTGTGCAGGCGGGGAAGGGGAGACACGCGGCGGAGGAGGACGGGGAGAGTGATAGCGGACAGGATACGATGAGTAGTACAGTGGATGCAGATGTGGATGATGAGGGGAAGGAGAAGGACGAGGGGCTGAATGAACAGGATGTCATGGATCGTTGCCATGATCATACAAATGATGAGGATCAGGGCACGTAGGAGACGAGGAGCATGACCAGGATCATTCTGATGATGTAGAGTAGGAGGAGAAGGAGGAGGCGGAGGAGAGCGAAGGATGATGCGGAGGAACGTTGGGAATGAGGGAGATGATGGCGGAGATGAAGACGATCTTGCTAGCCGAAGGACTCTAAAACGTGTTGATGCGGACGATGATGCTGATGGTGATGTTACCAGTGATGATGTTGGTTGTGATGTTGGGGGTGATGGTGAAGATGATGGTGATGGTAATGGTGATTATGATGCTGATGATGCTGATGATGCTGATGATGATGTGGATGGCGATGATGATGAGGTGGCTGATGGTGCTGACGCTGCTGCTGCTGATGCAGATGCTGACGCTGATGCTGCTGCTGATGATGCTGCTGCTGATGATGATCATACTGATGCTGATGATACTGATGATGCTGATGATGATGATGCTGGTGATGGTGATGATGGTGATGATGATGATGTTGATGATGGTGATGCTTATGATGATGATGATGGTGATGATGACGATGATGATGATGATGCTGATGATGATGATGATGATGCTGATGCTGATGATGATGATGATGATGAGGAAGATGAGGATGATGATGATGATGTTGATGCTGATGCTGATGCTGGTGATGATGATGATGATGATGATGATGATGATGATGATGACGATGATGATGATGATGATGATGATGATGATGATGCTGGTGATGCTGGTGATGCTGATGATGATGCGTCCCCCCCCACTGCAAATAGCCCTCGGCAGCATGGACGGGAAGGAGGAGCACGAGGACGAGAACCAGACGAGGAAGGCCATCGGCTGTCTGCCCGTGGCTCTCGAGCTTGCTTATCGACCAGCTGCTTACCGCCTCTGGACATCTGGCTCTTCCTGGCGCAGTCGCCCCGTATTCCATGCCTGCGTCTCATGGGAGCCGCCTGGCCGTTGGTCCTGAGGCAGGCGCGCGAGGGCCTTACGCCCTGCCTGGCTACGCAGCCGTCCAGGCGGCGGGCATGGCTTCGCAAGGCCCCCTCAGGACGCTCTCTACCAGCTCAGCGCGCAGTACCAGACCAGCACTGCGCCATGAACGCGGAGATCGTGGGAAGGGTGGGTGACCTGACCTCCCAGTCTCACTTGCCCCGCGGCTGGGCGCGCGCCTCTGGCAGGCCCAGGGCCCGAAGCTGCCGCTGGAACCACGCGCGGGCCGCAACATGCCGCTCGCAGCCACTCCGTGGACGTGCTCATCGTACCCCGCGCTTCGGGCAGGCACACCCGACAGCGGAGGCACACAACCGCGCCGTTGAGGATGCTGACAAGGACGAGGAAGAGGGACGGATGCGTGGGATGGACATCAGCAACGATGATGTTGTGGATGATGAGGGTAGCAATGTTGACGAGAAGACGAGTAAGAGGGTTGTCATGATACTACGAGCTGATGTTGATACTAATGTTTATGCGGAGGGATATTTGAGGATAAGGTGGAGGGATGTACGAGCATGTTGATGATTATGCTGGCGGTCACGATGACGATGCTGTTTACGATGATGATGCTCATGATCATGATCCTGATCCTCTTGAGGATGAGGTGGATGAGGAGTATTAAAATCCAAGTGATGGGGGTGACTACGGGGAAGCGGATGATACAACTGAGTGAGCGGAGGGGGGTGAGGAGGGCAATACAGTTTTCATGGCGGATTTATGTTGTTAGTGCTTTTCAGCAGGGAACGGCCGTAATTTTGATGGTCCCCATTACCATGCATGTGACCGCGACGGCGAGGCCGAGTCAGGTCCTCACGACGACGATGATGGCGACGATGATGATGCTGCTGATGATGATGATGATGATGATGATGATGATGATGATGCTGACGATCCTGTTTCTTAAGATGATGGTGATGAGAAGGGGATCAAGTTCGATGTGGATGGGTATTTTGATGGAGATAATGACGACGGTGATACTACTGATGATGATGACGCTGATGATGATAATGCTATGGTGATGCTGCTGCTGCTGATGAGGACGATGATGCTGCTGCTGATGATGATGTCGATGACGGTGATGATGGTGATTATGCGGATGATGCTGATGATGATGCTGCTGATGATGATGAGATGAGAAGGTGGATAATGCGGAGGAGGAGGAGGAGGAGGAAGAGGGAAAGGAGGAGGAGAAGGAGGAGGAGGAGGACGCGGAAGGAACAACGAATCACCAGATGCGCATGTGGATACGCCTCACTTCAGAACGTGATGGTGAGGTTCACGATGAGCGGCTTTTGTGAAGGACATGTGCTGAGCCCTGGACCCAGACTCCGTGGCCCTGAGTTTGGGCCCAGCGTCTCTACGTCTGGCTCATCGTTCTCCGAGGGCCGCCGCCAAGAGCGAAACCTTGACCCCCACACCAAGTACCCGTGAGTTGTTATCGCGAGGCGGTGTGGTCATGGCCGCAAGGCGGTCCCGCAAGCCTGCACGTGGCCTCTGTGCACCAGCGCTCTCGGGCCAACCCGATTTGATGGATGCGATCCTCGAGTCCAGGCTTCTGTTACCGCCAGACGACCGACTTTGATTATTTCCCTATTCCATCCAGCCGGGCATGTGCAAATACTCGATCACATCGCCCGTGACAAGCGATCAGCCCGTGGCAGGCAACATGGGAGCACGACGAGGTAGCGTTCAACACCTGCTCTGCACTGCGGAGCTGAACGCGGAGTCAATTCTGAACACGAATCTTTCTCGTGGTCTGACTGACTGGACATCAGAGACCTGCTGTTTGGCCGCGCCGCCCTGTCAGTGCAGCTGACTACTCGGAACCTCTTCCGCATAGCTGTCGTCAGCGCGAAAGGCTGGGAGGGCAGGTGAGGGTATATGAGGGAGGGAAGGCGATCTCGGGTTGTTGGGGAGGGGGTGTTGGGAGGTCGAGGGGCGGCGGATGGGGAGGGGATGGGAGTGCAGCGAAGATGGAGGGGGAGGGGGAGAGGGGGGGGGGAACCGGGGCTCGGGAAGGAAGGGGGGGGGGGAGGGGGCAGGGAGGGGAGGGGAGAGGTGGAGGAACATGACTCGTGGAGCATGGCCTGGCCTGCCGCCGAAAAGGCATGCGTGAAGGGCGACGGGGGGGGGTTGGGAGAGTGAGGCCAGCGGGGCGGGGATGAGGGGATTGGGGGGGGGATCGGGAAGGAAGGGGTGTGTGGCCGAGCTGGGGCGGGCCACGGGCGCGCTCGCGCTGGCGTAGCTGGCCGCCCTCCTCCCAGCGCACGTGCACCATCGTCGGCGTGGACAACCTCAAGAAGTACGTCGGCCAGCCGCCGCACACCTCCGACCACCTGTTCCCCGAGGCGCGCGGTCTCTCGCACGTCCTCCGGCACGAGAAAACAAGGCACGAGAGGGCCGATTTCGCCTTCACTTCGGGCTCCTGGATGCCGTCCTCGGGCCCCAGGGGCCACAGCAAGTGAGCGTACCTGGGGTGAAGGATGAAGCTCCGTGTTATCGGCAAGTCGTGACGTCCTAGGTCTGGGCTTGCGCCTGGGGCCTAGGACCGCTGATCGCCGTTTGCCACACCCGGCCCTAAGATGCTTTAAGCGCCTTCCTGCCGCATTCTGCTGCTGTCTGAGTGTTTCTGATCGCCTTTCTGCTGCGCGGGACCAGGCCCACTACAGCGGGAGCGTTCACTCAGGCATGTGCCCAGGGGGCTTCAGATCCTGGATGGTTCATTATCTGATGAGGACGGTGGTGATACCCATGGCCAATCCACGATTGGAGTTCCACCGGCTTCTAGACCCTGGATTCCTTACCCATTGGTCCCGTAGTCAATGCACTCACTCAGCGTGCTTGAAACGCCTTCACAGTACATTGTTCTACCTGCCTCTGGCGGCTGACGTGCAGTACACCTCGCCTCTACGGGCGAGGGCCCAGACGCCTCGCGAACTCCCAGTGGGGTGCTGCCCAGGGCAGGAAGCGGCAGGGGGGGGCTGCCACCTACCCCTTCGAGCTTCGCTGGCTCTAGGTCTGAGTTCTTGTTCAATGATTGCCACCTCCTGCGCAGTTGACTGCACACACGCGTCCAGGTGAACACTGAGGGGTCCTGAGGGTTTCTTTGTCGCCTGTTCTTTGACGCCTGCGCCTATCCTCCCCCTCCCCTCCGCCGCCGCTGCCGCCGCTGTTTTTCCTGTTTCCTCCTTCCTCCTCTCTCCTCTTGGCATGCTCTGCTACAGTCAAACAGCACAATACGAGGGCGAGGTAAGGACGCAAGGGCCTTGGAAGGCCATGCCGACACCTTGCGAGCGGGGCGCGGTCAGCGAAAGTGGCCGAGGACGGGCCGAAGGAGAAGGATGCAAGGGCACCCTCCCAGAATCGACCTCGTTCTTATACCTCTGTCTGGCTGTACAGTGGAGGCCAGTCCACAGGAGACCTTCCTTGTCCCTTCCCTGGACAGCACAAGGATGCAAGGGCAAGCTTGGACAGTCAAGTCGCCCATCCTTGCTGTGCGGGCTGACTGTGCAGTAAGCCTACACGTAGATGCATCGCAGTCTGCCCCCCCCCCCCCCTGCCGAACGGCGCGGATTGATGGCTCCGGCACGTTGGCTCGCGCGTCGCCCCCCCCCTCTGCCCTCGTTCCCTGTCCTTTCTCCTCTTGTCGTCGAGGGTAGAAGTGAGGGGGCTGTTTTCCACCATCACCGCCACGAGTTGGAGGGGGAGGGGGTCCTCCTCCTCCTCCTCCTCCTCCTCCTCCTCCTCATCCTCCATGTTCTCCTCCCCCTCCAACCTATGGTGGTGGTGGAAAACGGGCCCAGCAAAAAGAATCCCTAACCCTAATGAAGACGTGTCCTCACTTCATTCCCCGTCCTTTGATTTGGGATAAGGGATAACAATTCTGGGCAGTTCGTTTCCTCATATCTCTTGTGTTTCAGGCCCTCCTAACTTAGGTCCCCTCCCAAAGGGTCAGGGACCCTTTTTTGGTTGATCAGTTTGCTTATGTGAGGCTATAGTGTGTGTGTGTGTGTGTGTGTGTGTGTGTTGGGTGCCTCCATCGGTCTGCGCACGCACGAGTTGTTTTTGTGCTCCTGCTTCTGTGCTCGTGGCCGCCGTTCTCAGCAAACCCGCTGCCCACTCTCCCTCCTTGTCCTCGTCCTCCGTCCTCTTCATTCAGGTCGTGTCTCACGAGTTTAGCGGCCAGGCGTGTTGTCTAGCTGTGCCAGCAATTGTGTGTGTGTGTGTGTGTGTGTGTGTGTGTGCTATGTGAGGCTTGTCGAAGGGTGCGGAACTTGCGTGCAAGAAACGCACTCGCCCTGGCGAATATGTCGGCTTAGGATCCTTATGTTCGGAATGCCAAGGTCGGAATTCCGTGGGAACGGGCCGATTGCGGCAGGATATGGGGTCCAGGAGGGGCTTGACACCCTCGTGTTGCCCGTTTTCGCACCTCCGAACACCGCCGCATTTGAACCTTTATTTCCACACGCGCAAGCGCATGTCTCTGTGTTCCGTCTGTCCTGTCTATCGGGTGCGGCCCTCAATCTCGGTATGTATTGCCGAAGTGTCCCAGGTGCTCTCCGATACGGCCTAGGTGCGTCGTTCGCTTTAGTCGGGGATCGCGAAAGTGGCCGAGCGACTGGTGAGATCTCCGAATCTGGATGGGAGATTCCCCTTGCACCGCTGTGGTATTCCTATTCCGCGGTTTTGTCGTAGAATCAAATGAGCGGCGCAAGAAACACGGGGACGTTTGCGCCGACATTGGCGCGCAGGTTGCCCGCGTAAAGGTCGCGCGTAAAGCGCCCTCGTTTCCGATGTGGCGTGCCGCGCTGGCGGCCCGCGTAAGCTGCGGCGCCAGGTCGCTACTTTTCGTCGCCCAACTGGTGTTACTGTGATCCCGTTTCGTCCAATTGTCGCGTAAGGTCGCTACGTTTTTTTTTCGCCCAGTGGTTTCGCGTAAGACCCGCTGTTCTTCGTTGCCCAAATTGTGTTATGTGAGGCATGGCAGATCTTGCGATCGCTTGGCTGCGGTTGCTCCTGGAGGGCGCTGCTGCTGATGTGGGTGCGTATATCGCACCACGCCGACCGCCTGTCGGTGCTCACGCGCAGATTGCGCATAACTTCCACTTGCTCCATCACATGCTTCGTAGTTTGGCTCTTTTGATGGCCACCTTCGCCACTTGACGCGTAATCTCTTTCATCCATTCGCGCCATAGTGTTTGAGCCCATCTCTCCCTGTCACACGTAATCGCCCTCTCTCCATCGGTCTGCTGTTTGTCTGCCTGCCTGCCTGTCTGTTTGTCTGTCTGTCTACCTGTCTGTCTGTCTGCCTGCCTGTCTGTCTGTCCCTCTCTCTCCCTCTCTCTCTTTCTCCATCATTCTCTCCATCTGCCTCTCTAGTGTGCTTCCTCTCCCTCTCTCTCTTGGTCACCCTCTCTCTCTGTATGCATACGTGGTTTTGGTTCATCATCCTTGCGCTCGTTTTGCATCTCTCTCTCTGCCTGATCCCTTTCCCCTTCCTTCTTCTCACCCCGCTTTATCTGGGTTCCCGGTTGCCCTCTTCCTGCCGTCCTCCTCTTTGGCTTTGTTTTTTTGCAGATGTTGCTCCTTGATTTCCTTACCTCTCTCTCTCTGTCTCTTTCTTTTTCTCGCTCTCTCTCTCTCTCTCTCTTTCTCTCCTGTTTCATTGCTTGTGTAATCTCTCTCTCTCTCTCTTTCTCTCTTGTTGCTCTCTCTATCTCTCACTCTGTCTTGTTGTTGTTGTTGCTGTTGCTGTTGCTGTTGCTGTTGCTGTTGCTGTTGCTGTTGTTGTTGTTGTTGTTGTTGTTGTTGTTGTTGCTGTTGAATTCTCGATTATGAAGAATGATTAGTGTTGATCCCCCCCACCGGTGCATTCTGTTTTTCTCAATCAAAGTGTGCCCCTCGACGCTCGCACCCTGTTTTTTGACAGGGAAAGTCTTGATTCTCAAACTGGGCCTTTGGCCCCCGGGTTTACAACAACAACGGCTCCCGCCTGAGACTTCCTTACAATTTAGCCAGGACCCCCGCTCCCGCCCAAGATTTCCTCGCATTTTATTCAGGAATCGCGCTCTCGCTTGGGACTTCCTTACAATTTATTCAGGAATCGCTCTCCCGGCGCTCTGGCATTGCTTGCAACTTACTGAAGAATGGCCTTGCATTGGAATTTCTTGCAAGTTGCCCAAGCGCCGTGCTTCCGACACCCAGGCACCCAGGAGTCGCGCTCGTTGTGGCCCCATGTGCATGCCCTTCGTGGCCCCGCTGTCGCCATTTGTGTCCCCCTCACTGTCCTACGTGGCCCAGTTGCTACCCTCAGTGGCCCCATAGTTGCCTTCTGTGGTCCCGCATTATCTGCACTTCGTGGCCCCCGCTTTTTCGCGCTCTTCGTGGCCCCATACGCATTCCCTTCGTGTCCCCGCTGTCGCCCTTCGTGGCCTACTTCGTGCCCTTCGTGGCCCTGCCGTCGTTCTCTCTCGCTCTCGCTTTCGCTCGTCGTCGCCGTCGTCGTCGTCGCCGTCGTCTTCGACGTCGTCGTCGTCGTCGTCGTCGTCGTCGTCGTCGTCGTGGTCGGTCCCCTGTCCGTCCCTCTTGGGGTCGGGTCGACGGTCCGCGGCCGCCCCGCCGAACAGCGCTGCCGCTGGCCAGGCCGACGGTCCGCGGCCGCCCCGCCGCTTGCCGGGGCCCGGCCTGCAGGGAAGAAAGGTATACCCCCCAAAGGGGTTCGATCGAAGACGAAGAGGGTGGGTATCGAGGGTTTGGGAAATACGCGGTGTTGGACACTCGAGCAGAACAGTCTTGACTTATTGTTGTTGTTGCTGTTGATGTTGTTGTTGTTGTTGATGATGATGATGATGATGCTGCTGATGATGATGATGATGATGATGATGATGATGATGATGATGTTGTTCTCTCTCTGTCTCTCTCGCTCTCTCCCCTACCTCTCTATATGTTTACCCCCCTTCTCTATCTTTCGCTGGAGCGTTATAACTATGTCTTGGTGCGTCTTACTTCGTTTGGCCCCCATGTTCTTCGGTCCCTCCCCTGCCTTCTGCCAGCCTTCATGATTTCTGTGTGTGTGTCTCTCTCTCGCTCTCTCTCTCTCTGTGTGTTAGTCCTTCACCTTATCTATGTGTCCGCTCCGCCTGTCTCCCTTCGATTCCCTATCGTCTGCTGTGTTTTTCAAGCGGCAGTGCTCTTTTAACGGGTCATGCAAGGTTAGTTCACAACACAGTCTCGGATCGAGGGCACTCTTTTCTCGCGCGAGCTGCTGAATCTCTTTATTGTTCTCACATCTATCAAGCCGTACTCAACAGGGTATGCCAGCGGGTGTGGTCATGGGCCTCGCATGGACATCCTTGGGCGGGAAGACGCTTTTCATTGAGGCCCGTGGACGGCTACCGTTGAAGGATACTGCTTTGCCGCGTTTCTCTTCCGAGTGTGACTAGCTGTGCTGGCTTTTCGCTGTTCGTTACCATCGTGCATGCGCTTTGAATTGGAGAGTGACAGTGCAAGTTGTGTCTGAATGGGATCGTAAGAGCAAGCCTTGATCAGTACTTCCTCATTGCCAGCGGTCCTCCTCCCTCCTCCCTCCTCCTCCTCCTCCTCCTCCTCCCTCCTCCTGCTCCTCCTCCTCCTCCTCATTCTTCTCCTCTTTGGCTCCTGCGCACCGCTCCCCGGTAGGAGAAAGCTGCCGCCCGGAGAGCCCGATGCCTCTTACGTTTGCAGTGCGCCCGGGCTGCTTCCACGTGGCCCTTGCGTGGCCCACGCGTCTCTGGTGCTCTTCCAGGGCCGGCCCGGGGAAAGCGGCCGTCGCGGCGTGCGGCCGCCCCTTCTCTCGGCGGCCCCTTCTCTCGGCCCCTTCTCAACGGCACCGTAACGGGTACTTACTAACGGGTACTTTGAGATTTTGCCGAAAGTTGCCACTTTAGGGCCTTGCATTGCAGCGTTGCCCACATCGGGAAGGATTGGGTTCGCTGGGTCACTGGCCAAAGTACCCTTTAGTGGAGTCCCCGTTTGATGGGCGCTGACCTTCTCTCGGACCCGCCTCAGAGGCAGGCTACCGCTCTTAGTCCTAGTCCCTTCCCGTTTGCGAAGGCCCTGCAGCCAGTGCCGCCGACCCTGAGCGGCCACGACGACGACGGCGACGATGACGACGACGGCGCTCTGGAACCGACAGCCTCTTGTAGTTGCCTCCAGCCAGTGCAGCCGATCCCGGGCGCTCCCGATGATGCTCGGGTTCGCTTGGATGCCTATGGGCCGTCGTGGGACACTCTTGGGGCCGTCTTAGGAGCCTCTTGGGCCGTCATAGGGCCATCTTGGAGGTCTCTGGGGCGATCTTGGGGGCCTCTGGGGCCGTCGGAGGGCCGAAAAGAATGAAGTGACCGAATCCTTCAAAAGCTGGTATCAAATTAGTTATTTGGGCCTCGTCGGGCCTTTTTGGGAGGGCATCCTGGGCCATCTTGGGTGCATCTTGAGCCGTCTGGGAAAGAGACCCTGAGGCGGGACGACGACGACGACGACGACGACGACGACGACGACGACGACGACGACGACGACGACGACGACGACGACGACGGCGACGGCAGAGGCGACGACGACGGCGATGAGGACGACGACGCTGACGTTCTGGAGCCGGAAGCTTCTGCCAGGGAGGAGTGTTCCCCTCCGGGGGGCAGAGTGCAGTGGCCTCCGGCCAGTGCCGCCGATCCAGGTCGCTCGCGATGGTGCTCGGGTTCGCTTGGGGGCCTATGGCGCCGTCTTGGGGCCCTCGTGGGGCCGTCGCAGGAGGAGGACTCTTAGAGGGGGCCTCTTGAGGACGCTCCAGAAGTATTCGACAGTTTCTGGGTCACAGTGGGAAGCACCAGGGAAACGATGTCCTCCACTGCTGCTCCTCTTCCTTCTGCTCCCTGTTCCTACCAACGCTGCTTTTCCCTTCCTCCGCTCCTCTTCCTCCTCCTCGTCCTCCTATTCCTCCTCCTCCTCCTCCTTCTCCTCCTCCTCCTCCTCCTCCTCCTCCCCCTTCTCCTCCTGATTCCTCCTCCTCCTCCTTCTCCTCCTCCTCTTCCTCCTCCTCTTTCTCCTCCTCCTCCTCTCCTCTCTCCTCCTCTCCTCCCTCCCTCCCCCCCCTTATCCTCCTGCTGCTGCTCCTCCTCCTCCTCCTCCTCCTCTTCTCTTCTCTTCTCCTCCTCCTCCTCCTCCTTTTCCTCCTCCTCCTTCTCTCTGCTTGCTACAGGGTCGCAAGAGCGAGAAGCCTCGGCTGGTGGACACCGGGCCCGCGGATGACGGCTCCGCGCGGGACGCCGGCCAGTCGCGCTTCGCTTTCGGTCACCTTCCGTTCAAACAGCCTTTCTCTGCTCACCCATTGGGGGGGCATCACGGGAGGGGGGTGTTTTGCCGCGCCAGATCTCTTTCTCTCTCTCTCTTTTTCTCTTTCTTTAGCTCGGTCTCTGTCTGCCTGTTTGTCTGTCTGTCTGTCTGTCTGTCTGTCTTTATTATGCGTGTGTCTGTCTATCTGTCTAACTGTCTGGCTGTCTGTCTGTCTGTCTCTTTCAATTTCTCGATATCCCTCTCTCTCTGTCCCCATATCTCTCTCTCACTCTCTCTCTCTCTCTCCTTCTCTCCGTGTCTGTCGCTCTCTTGTGATCTCTCCCTCTGTCTCTCTCTCTCTCTTTCTCGCTCTCTTTCTCATTCTCTTTTTCATGTTGCATGTTTTACGCACGGCTGGGTACACATAGTATACTTGTCGGCAAAACATGAGACATGTTAGCCACTTCGAGGGCGCACGTAGTTCATGCTCACGTGATAGCTCATATGCCCAACGCGACGGTGTCATACATGTTCAGCGAGGCAAGGCCGCCAACCATTCACATGTGAACGTTCACTCTATAATGGCCGCAGCTAGATTTTCTGCCGCGCATGAGGGCGGCCGCAGTAACACTCCTCGCGGTACAGAGGCAGGATCAGTTTGCGACCGTGCCTGCAGAAGCAAACCATGGACCACAGAGACCACGAATGGGCCACAGAAACACCTGGCCTCCCTTCCTCATTTCCCCTTCCTCTCTCTCTCCGTCGCCCCCTCTCCCTCTCCCTCGCGCGGTCCCTCTCCTCCCTTCCCCTCCACTGCGTCGCTGTCGGCGTCGGGGTCGCCGCAACCGCCGTCGTCGTCGTCGTCGCCGCCGCCGCCGCCGCCGCTGTCGTCGTCGTCGTCGTCGTCGTCGCCGTCGTCGGCTTCGTGTCGGCGTCGGCGTCGCCGTCGTCGCCACCGTCGCCGTCGTCGTCGTCGTCGTCGTCGCCCCTTCCACCTCTCCCTCTCCCCACTCTGTCCCTCTGCCCCCTCCCTCTCTTCCTCCCCACCCCTGCGCTGCACTGTTGCACCGCGCCATGCTTCCTGGCCCCCCTCGTCGCGACCGTGTGCTCGCAGCCTCGCTGGTCGGAGCGTGCAGTATGCAGCCTCGGGCTCATTTCGGCGTTGGTCCAGCAGCGCGCCCAGCCGTGAGCACCAGAGCGTCCGCCGCGCGCAGCTGCTCTTGGATGCTGCTGCTGCTGCTGCTCCTCCTCCTCCTCCTCCTTTACTTCCTCCTTTATATCCTTATCATCCTGAACGTCCTCGTGTTCCTCTTTCCTTGCTTCCAGGCGCCGTTTCCCTCTTCTCCTCGATCCTCGTTTCCGCTTTTTCTCTACGCGCGGATGGTCATGCCAGTGGCTCGTATCTATTGCTCGGCCCCATTCTGCGCTGATTACTTTGATGGAGCCGCTACCGCGGCCACCTTGTGTTAAAGCCAGACTCATACCTCTGACCTCCATGTCTTGCACCCTGCTCCTCTTCCTGTTCGTTTTGACTGCTTGGCTTCCTCCTCCCCATTGTTTCTCGTCATCGTACTTCTCGTCCGTGTCCCCTTTTCTCACCTTCTTTTGCTCCTACTCGTCCTTCTCGTCATAGTCGTATTTCGCTTCTTACTTCCCTGTCTGCCCGTCTTACCTCCTTGTCTTGCCTCGTCGTCGTGCGCGTCGTGTTTCCATTCCTTCGCCTTTCACCTGCCTGCCAAAAACATGCAAGGACGACGCAGAGGACGGAAAGCACAAACCGCCAACTGGCACGGGTGCGCGTATCACGGTCACTGGCAAGCTTGGCAAGGCGATGCGCGAGCCCAGCATGGGGAGTTGAGGACGGCGGCGAAAACATTGACCGGGCTGGGGGTTGTACGAGAGGGAGAGGAGTTGAGATTGTGGGGGGGAGGGGGTGAAGGAGAAGGGAAGAACGAGTAGGAGCGGAGTGAGAGGAGTAGGGGGGGGGTAATGAGGAAGAATGATGAGGACGAGGATGATGATGAGGAAAAAGAGCTTGCTTGAACTGAGATCTGGTTGTGAGGATGGAGATGATGATAGTTTTGATCATTATGATCATGTTGCACACGAGGTTTATAGTAATGCTGCTTAGACGGACAAGGGAGAGGGTAGTGTGCAGGAGGAATAGGGTTGGCATGAAAACATTTGTTGTGTGACACAAACAATTAAGCTATCTGTAGCTAAATGTCCCGTGCGTGTACCAGTACCGCAGTTCATGGCAATTGTGTCACACAATCTAGCGGCATCCGTCCAAATTGCAGACACCTAATATGCGCCAACGCCGAGTTTTACCGTGTACGCGAACCAAGCCGGCCTGCATCTTGCGTCTGACGACCGCGGCGCGACGGGAATTTCGATCACACATTCAGTGAAGCAATGTGGCTCAAGTGTGGCTCAAGCCGCATGTGGACATATCCACTGGGGACAAAACTCGCCCAGCCCCCGCGCCTAGCACGCCCGCCCCACTCAAGTCACCAGCACCAGACGATGCCCGCCATGGCGCCCTCCCCGATCGCGGGTGCGCCTGGACTCGAGCGCCCTTCGCAGGTGCCGACGGACGCGGACTCCACGGCTGACGAGACTGGCGCCACGCAGGGCTTGGCCGCCTTGCAGATGGGCGCCCCCGCCGACGCTGGGCAGCCCCAGTACGACCCAGGAGGTGCCCCTCTGGTACCTCCCACCGTGCCGATCAGATCAATCGCCGACGGGCTCTTCTGCGACTGGCTCGAGGACGACATATTGTCGCACTTCCCGATCGTCCAGGCCGCTGAGGCCAGCCAACCCTCTGCAGCAGAGGCGTCGTTTCAGCTTCCTTCCGACTGGGCTGGCAACGACAGCATCTTTATCAAGCTGGGTTACCACCTGGACTCCGAGGATCACTGGCGGGCGATCGGCTACGCCATGTACGAGGGTCCCGACCCCTCCGTCCAGCTCATCACGAGCCGCCTACGCACGGTGAAGTTATTGTGCAGCCTCGTCGGTACCTCTGGCGGCTGGTCGCCGGCTGACCTCCAGAGGGCACGTGACGTCAGGGACAAGATCACCTTGGACGTGAAGAGGTGCGAGGAGGACCTGCATGAGCTTATGCGTGCCCGCCGCAAGATCAAGGCCAGTAAACTCCCATTGTGGAAAGAGCTGGGCAAGGACGGGCTCGAGCTCCTGACCAACACGAAGCCTTATGCGGACGAAGTCTCGTACACCCAGTGGTCCGACGTCCTCGCCATCGATCTGGCGCCGAACCTCGTGCCGACGTCCCGGAGCATCGCGGAGCTGGCGGAGAAGGGCGACGATTGGGTTTGGGAACAGCTCAAGGGGATGGCAGTCACTATGTGGACCCACTCCGACGCCAACGCTCTCACCCGCCTGCTAGCCTCCCTCCTCAGGCGAATTGGCTCTTCGAATTGGCCGGTCAGCGTACGCTTGATAGCTCCGATTCCTCTTCGAGCTGGCATGGATACCGCGTCAGATATTATGGACCTCTGGTGGTCCCCTCTCCTGGGAGATCGATGGGCGTCTATCGTCAAAGGCTGCTTCTTCGTGCCTCATCCCTTCGAGATGGTGCTCCCTGGCTGGAATAGCCCCCGCCACACCCAGATGGGCCTCGCCGTCTTCAACTTGGCGTTCACTGGTGCCAAATCCGTTCCCAGGGTCATGACCTTCAAACCGGCCATCCTGGGGCTGCGAGCGGTCTCCGGACGACAGTGGACATGCTCGCCGCGAGCATTCCCACCTTCTACGCCATTATGCAGAACCCACTCCTGAGCAATATCGTCTGCCGACCCCCGAAAAGAAGCTGCGCCAGCACGAAGGAGCTCCCGCAGGTCACGGTGGACCTCCTCTTCCCCGATGGCGTCGACCAGCTCGCCCAGTTCCTGCAGCTCCGACATCTCCGTCGCCCCGAGTTTCCCGAGAGCGCATTCTTTGGCAGCACGCTGATGTACAGCGACCCCGACGCCATGACCCTGGAGATCAACGGTTCCGCTTCGCTACACCACTATTGGCCACTCTGCACAGCTTTTGGTTGTCTCGCAGAGCAGGGCGCTGGTCTACTCCGACGCTGCCTCCGAGACGTGGGTGGAGGTCCTCGATCGTTGCCTGCGGGAGGACCCTTCTACAGCAGCCACGGTACTGAAGTCGAAGCCGTCACGTAACGGAGGTCGACTGGTGGCTACTCCTTCGGCCACGGCTTCCGCAATCGCCGCGACAAGGCAGAGACCGAAGCTCCGCAACAACGTTACCGACCACATCGCCGACATCCAGGTCCAGGGTGAGGTGGGCCAGGAGGATGGGGACGTCTTGCGCCGCATCTTCATGCACGCTTGCTCGGCGACTGGGCTCGCGCTTGCGGAAACCGCACAGGACGCCGTCCCGAAGCCGGGGGGAGTTTTACCGCCTCGCCTCCCGGGACCAGTTCGCGCTCCCAGGTCGCCTGCGGATCCTGCTCAGCAGCACCGCAGAGGTCCGCAAGGTTCACGCTGCACTTCATGGGCAGACGGTCCGCGCAGGCACCTACAACGTCGTCGTCGAGGTCATGAACGCCCAGATGCACTTGGGATCCCTGCCGGGAAACGGCAGGCGGTAGCTGCTCGCGGCCCTGGCGGCTACCGCCCAGACTCGGGGCGTCTTTCGGGCCCTGAGCATGGGCATGGAATTTCTTGCACGAGCGATTCTGGAGAGGGCTACTGGATCGTTGATGTCGTTCTTCGTCTCCACCCTGCTCAGGCGGGGCCGGGCCGCTGGGGCCACTCACAGCCATGTGCTCTCCCATCTGGCGCTTTTGATTTCGTCCGACTTTTTCCTCCTCTTCCTGTATTCGTTTGTGGTGATCGCGAACTGCTACCTGGCCGGTCTCTGACAGCCAATCGAGATGACGTGCCTATTTCCATATGCCGCCACCAGCGGCTTCTACGCGCCCTGGGCGAGCTGCCGCCAGACGCCATCTCCACGCCTGCCCTCAAGATCCCGCGAACAGTTGTCTCAACGCCAGGGGGGTCCAGGCAGGGCCAATGCTCACTGGACGTCGCGGCGTCCCTGTGGAACGCGCAGGCCCTCTTCGGCACGGACCTGGCGCGCCACGAAGCCGAGGCCTCTCACGTGCACAAGCTCGTCGCGAGGTCCAACGTCTGCCTGCTGACAGAAACTCACGGCACCGATGCTGGGAACGCGACTTGGAGGCCTCCAACTGGCACCACCGCTTGGTGGTCGGCTGGCGCTTCGCCAGGACACGCGGGGGTCGGCATCACCGCGAAGAACTCATTCTTGCAGCTTTTCTCGCACGCCGCCCTGCTAGAGGTTATCTGGCCTGGCCGGGCCGCCAAGCTCAAGCTGCGCGGCCCCCATGGCGCCCTGGACATAATCGTATCTTATTTCCCCGCGGGGGCAGACGGTACCGAGCAGGATCTCTTCTGCGTGGCCCCCTCCATGCACGCCGCGCTGAGGACGTTCCCAGCCCTCCGGGCGCATCTGCGGAACCGCCTGGCTGGCAGGATTTCTTCGAAGGCGAGGGCGCTCACTCTTCGGCGGGGACTTCAACTATGTGGCTTCGCCCTGCGACAGGACCGCCGTCGCGTCGCAGACCCCCGCGGGCAGGAGGGACCAGGGGGGGGAGAGCCACTTCCAAACAGTTCTTGCTCGTCCGCACGGGTTTCACTAACTTTTTCAAGGTGAGCCCGCGCATGCCTCCGCATCCTGTCGAGCGCGGCTGGACCGGCTCTACGTGAACTTCCACGCCTCGGAGCAGCCGGACCGATGTCTCCGTGCCTCTGCGATGGAATGGTGCCCTGATTTGTCGACGCACAGGGCGGTTTACGCATCTCGCAGCACGGCCGACAGGATCCACGAGCACGAGCGTCCAGTGTCCGAACGTGCCCTGCGGCACGACGATTTCCCCCGCCGACTAGCTTTGGACAATCACCGCAAGCTCCATTAGAAACCGCTGACATCGCCGATCCGCCGGCTACAGCTGTTCAAAGGCTCCATCGAAGAAGTGGCCCGTCGGCAAGACGCCACGATGGGCAAGCCTCCTGCTGTCGTGGACCTTGAAGACCGGCTTGGTGTTGCGATGAAGTTCGTCCGTAACGTTTCATCTTGCATCGAGCGTTGCTTTCGCCTGGCCGAGCTGATGGACAATCCTTGCGACACATTTGGGACAATCTCACAATTCGCCTTCGGCCTGTCAGGGATCACGCGATCGAGTTGGCCAGAGGGCGCGCCCTTGACGAGCTCAACGAATCGCACGTCGACCTCGTCAGTGGCAATGCTGCCAGGGCCTCTCAGGCGAGGCTGAAGACCCTGCGCCTGATCTTCCGACTCGCTCCTGGTTGAGCTGGTTGCATGTCGGCTGTGCTGCCCAGAAATGGCCAGATCCTGACGGGCGCCGCCGGGATGGCCGCGGAACTCAGGGGGCCCTGGATGAGCGTCTTCCGCGCGAAGGGCATCGATCACGCCTTCCTCGAGGAGTGGCTCAACGAGGACGCTGGCAACAGGGGCGATGGGGATACTGTCTGTGAGGCCCCTGTGCTTTTCCGCCTCCGCAGTCGCCGCATCCGGCGCGCCATCCAACATTTCCAACAATTCCTCCCCGGGCCCCGATGGCGTCAGTTTCCTCGCTTGGAGATGTTGCATCAAGCTCTCCACCACGGTTCTCTTCGACGCAGTGCGCGTGCTGGTGGGCGACTCTGGCTGCGCGGCCATCGAGGAATGGCCAGATTTCAACGCGAGTTTGCTCTTCCTGCTGCCCCAAAAAGCTTCGGGCACCACGGCCACAGGCGAGGGTTACTTCGCTGCGAATAACACGAGGCCGTTGAACGTGACCAACACCGACAATCGTCTTCTGGCGAGCGCTGTTCGATATCTCGTGGAGCCTATCCTCGGCCCGAAGATTGTCGACGCCCAGAGGGGCTTCATCGCAGGGCGTAGCACGCTAGCCAATCTGGTTGACATCGGGGAGGCCATGGCGACAAGCGCGTGCGCATCCGGCGAGGGCGCGGCGCTGTTCTTCGACTTCGCCGCCGCGTTCCCGTCCGTGGAGCGCGACGTGCTGTTCGCGGTGTTCCGCGAGCTCCGCTGGCCAGCGTGGCTGGTCAACTTTATCGTCTGCCTGTGCTGCCGCAACTCGTGCTCCATCGCCCTGGGCGGCTCGCGACGCGCTGGCTTCGACCTGGCACGGGGCATCCGCCAAGGATCCCGCTGCTGTTCGTGGCGGTGTCGGACATCCTATTTCGGCGCTTGGGCCGGCATTTCCCAGAGGCTCGAGTGCGCGCTTGCGCCGGCGACGCAGCCTTGGTACACTCTTGCATCTTCCAGCACGTCGGCGCCGTTCAGGACATGCTCCTCGAGTATGAGCGCATCTCCGGCGTGCGGCTAAATGTCGGCAAGACCGTTTGCGTGTCATTCTTTAGGTGCGAACGCGAGGAAGTGCGTTGCCAGCTCATCAGGGAAGCCCCGTTATGGGGGGCCCTCCCGGTCCAGGACAAGGCGAAGTACCTCGGCATGGTCGTCGGCCCTGGCCGCGGCACGAGCTCGCTGGATTCCCCCTGCAAGAAGTTCGTCGACAGGGCCGTGCTCTGGGGGCAACTGGGCGTTGGCCTTCTCAACACCTTCGTGGCCTACCAGTTTTTCGTGAGCTCAGTCGTCATATTCGTCGCGCAGCTCGACCCGCTGCCGTGCTCCTTTGACGCGATCGAGCTACAAGCGTGCCTGGCGCTGTTCCGCGGCTCTGAGGATTGGTTCTCCGTGGATGCGTTGAAAGATCTGAAATCGATGAGTTTCGCGATGGGCTTCCCCGACGTCTCTCGCCGCTCGTGCGGCGAGGGCCAGGGTCGCCAGGTTCGAGAGCGCCGCGCACGGCGGTCTCCGGATACGAGCGCGGGCTCGCCAGCTCCACCAGCTGAGCCGCGACGCCAGGAACCAGGCCCGGGTTGGGCATTCCCAGCTGTACATCGACCAGAACTTGTTCTCGCTCCGCGACGCCACCACTGAGCTGACAGCAGCCGAGCGGCAAGTGCGCGCGGTGCCGTCTCTTCTCGGCCCTGCAAGCCCCGCGGCTCAGGAACGGAGCGGGTGGCAAGCGCAGGCTAGGCTGCTCGTGTTTTTCCCAACCATCCTGTGGTGTTGGGTCCTCGTTTTGAAGAAGCGGTCCCCGCGTCTCCTCTCCTTCTCTCCTCCTCCTCCTCCTCCTCCTCCTCTCCTCCTCCTCCTCCTCCTCCTCCTCCTCCTCCTCCTCCTCCTCCTCCTCCTCCCCCCACCATCAGGTGGCCTCGGGCCATTTCGGCACACCCCTCACGAGGATCGTGGCCCCATGGGGAGCTTCACCGAAGGCGCCAGTGGCAGGGTTCGCATGGCGGCCTCGGGCCATTTCGGCACACCCCTCACGAGGATCGTGGCCCCATAGGGAGCTCCACCGAAGGCTCCAGTGGCTGCGTTCGCATGGTGGCTTCGGGCCATTTCGGGACACCCCTCACGAGGATCGTGGCCCCATAGGGAGCTCCACCGAAGGCTCCAGTGGCTGCGTTCGCATGGTGGCCTCGGGCCATTTCGGCACACCCAGTACAGCATTTCGTGGCCCCATAGGGAGCTCCACCGAAGGCTCCAGTGGCTGCGTTGGCATGGCGGCCTCGGGCCATTTCGGCACACCCCTCACGAGGATCGTGGCCCCATAGGGAGCTTCACCGAATGCCCAATTGGCAGCGTTCGCATGGCGGCCTCGGGCCATCTCGGCACACCCCTCACGAGGATCGTGGCCTCCACCGAAGGCGCCAGTGGCAGGGTTCGCATGGCGGCCTCGGGCCATTTCGGCACACCCCTCACGAGGATCGTGGCCCCATACGGAGCTCCACCGAAGGCGCCAGTGGCAGGGTTCGCATGGCGGCTCGGGCCATTTCGGCACACCGCTCACGAGGATCGTGGCCCCATAGGGAGCTCCACCGAAGGCTCCAGTGGCTGCGTTGGCATGGCGGCCTCGGGCCATTTCGGCACACCCCTCACGAGGATCGTGGCCCCATAGGAGCTCCACCGAAGGCCCCAGTGGCAGCCTCCCTCATGGCTCTTAGAGCCCTCTCCTGCTTCTGCTCCTCGGTCAGGGGGGCGCCGTGCTCGTCGTCGTCGGCGCCCGCGAAGACGGCCACGAACGTGTCCCTGAGCATGTCGGGCTGCGGCGGGAAGTTGTGGCCGCATCGGGAGCGCGGGCGAAGATGTTATTCACAACTGCGGTAGTCACAACTGCGTATGGTTGGGTCTTTCGCCAGGCTAATTTTTACGCTGTCTCCCCACCACCAGCTGCACGGCGCATCAGGAAACGATTGGACAAATCGCAGCTCAACGTTTGCCTGGCCGCCGCCCAGCCAGGTGGCTCAACGCTCTTGCCCTCGCCTCCCCCCTCCTCCCCCTCCCCGTTTCCAAGCGTGTCAAATTCGCACTGCGTGGAATGGTTGGGCCACCGCCCGCCGCTTCGGCGGGGCAGGAGAGCGTCTCTTCAATTGCCCGCGTGGGGAAGACAGTATACAGCATTACGCTTTTTGTCCCGCATTCCATGCCCTATGCCGCCAGTGTCTCGGACTCAACCCGCCGCCAGCGGAGAAGTGTCTCAGCGATTTCGTGGGCATTCGCCCCCACGGGCACTTTCTCCCCACGCACTGCAGGGACGGCAACGCCAGGTCCGCGGCGGCGGCGCTCCGGGCGATCGGGGTATTCGCTTTGTTTAAAACGCACAACGCTGTCCGACACGGTCCCCGGGCCGCTGATGGGGCCGACGCGTGCCGAGGGTGCGTCCGAGACGCGATCTCTGGACACTCACGCGCACAGCATCTCGTCAGGATCGCTTTAAAGAGGCCCCGTCAGGAAGGCTAGTAGATTTCGCCTTGCTTCTTTCCTATGTTTCTTGTTTCTCCTTCCTCCCTCCCCCCCCGCGGGCGGGGGCCAAATCATGGAAGGGGGGAATTCCGTACAAAATTGTCGTTTTGTACGGAATTTTCCCCTCCCCTGTTTTGCTCGGTTGTAATTCGGAGCGCCGCTCGCTTAATCTTATTAGTTGTATTTGATACCCCGGGTTGCCCAGCCCGCCTCGCTATAATACAATTCCGGGGCATGTTTGTATCATTGTTGTCCGCTGCCGCCTGTCTCTCTCCTTGTTTTCTCTCGCTTCGCTTGCGCTGCAGCGGAGGCGTGGGCGCCCAGACTGCCGAGCAGTCGGGCGATGACCTCTGCTGTATCTAAGCCTGCCCCACCGCCCAGTGCTCCAATCCCAGGGTGCGCGCGATGGCTCGCCTATTGCAGGTTGGCTTGAACGCTGCTCCTGGCGTTTGGCTGGACCCTCTCGCCCCGTTCCTCCCCTCCTCTTCCTCCTCCTCCTCCTCCTCCTCCTCCTCTCCTCCGCCGTTCTGACAGTTTGGTGGTGCATCCTGTCGGCACCCATGGGGCGGACAAATCGTGCCCCCGGGTGCCAAAGGCGATCAATTTTTTGTGCCAGTGCCAGTTGCTGTTCAGCCTCAGCTTGCTGGCCAGGCTGGCGTGCTCATTGTTCGGGTGCCTAGGTAGGGGAAGCCTCCCAGAGGGGCCGCGGATTTCCATGTTTCTTGCCCTTGGACAGGCCTCTTCTCTTCTCGTCTCGCGTCTTGCCCGCTTTTCACAAAACATTCAGTAACGGCCGGCAATGTTCCGCGACGTACCAGTCTGAAGTGTATGGAACGACGCTCCGCGACCAAGCACGATGAACCATGACTCAGAAAGTTGACGCTGGATGCTTCTATTTGGGAGTTAAGCAAAACTGACGGTGACTCGCATGGTAAATCAAAGAAGTGACCGCTCAGAGTCGCGAGTTTTGCGACCACGCAGTCTTGCAATCCGCATGTGAGCTCAGCCGCCTGTGCTCCCATCCTCCTGGTACGACCAACCCACCCCACGCACGTGCCCCCCCCACAACTCCCTGACATCAGCATTTGCGATGACAGGATACATGAACAATAACACTCAACGGCTGCTACCGTGACGTGCGCGAGCCCAGGGGCCTCACATCTTGTACAACGTTTTGCCTGACTTCGCAGTGGGCGCAAGCACTTGTGCCTGTCGAGAGAATGCTGCCGCCATCATGGGAGCCCGTTCGGAAACGCCCCCGGCGATCACTCGCGTCACCGGCCCCGCTCCCCCCCTCCCCTGTAGTCACGTCGCGGCGGTCGTCCGGTGGCGACCGCGGACGTCCTCCGGCGCTCGCAAGCTACTGTGGTGTTCAGAGGTATGTTGTTGTGCTCACAGGGACGCTGTGGCACTCGCGAGGGAAAGCGGCGCTTTGCTTGCGTGCCGCGTGGTGCTCTCCGGGTCCTCTCTGTTGCTGAGAGGCATTGCCGCGGCGGTCGGAACGCGGCGCTCGCAGTTGCTGGCGCTGAGTGGTGTATACGGGCGCCGACTGCGCACACAGGCGTTGTGTAGTATATGAACGCTGCGCTGTCCATGGTCGTTGTGGCGTGCGCAGGCACTACAGGCTCAAATGCACGGGGCCGTTTCCAAGGCAAGAAAACAGGGGGACGAGGAGGAAAGGGACGAGAAGGAAGGGGATGATGCTGATGATGATGATGATGAGGAGGAGGAGGAGGAAGAAAGAGGAGGAGGAGGAGGAGAAGGAGGAAGAGGAGGACGAGGGAGGAACACGCCCGGCAGCGGGCTCCATGAGCGC